AACATCCGTGTGAAAACCCATTTCTGGTGTCCCCCGCCGTGATATTGCTGGAATATTGCTAAAAGCGGCATAAAACCACTCACTCACTCACTCACTCACTCACTCACTCACTCACTCACTCACTCACACTCACTCACTCACTCACTCACTCACTCACTCACTCACTCGGCCTGACCACCCGATCCTGGTGTCCCCCGCCGTGATATTGCTGGAATATTGCTAAAAGCGGCATAAAACCACTCACTCACTCACTCACTCACTCACTCACTCACTCACTCACTCACACTCACTCACTCACTCACTCACTCACTCACTCACTCACTCACTCACTCACTCACTCACTCACACTCACTCACTCACTCACTCACTCACTCACTCACTCACTCACTCGGCCTGACCACCCGATCCTGGTGTCCCCCGCCGTGATATTGCTGGAATATTGCTAAAAGCGGCATAAAACCACTCACTCACTCACTCACTCACTCACTCACTCACTCACTCACTCACTCACTCACTCACACTCACTCACTCACTCACTCACTCACTCACTCACTCACTCACTCACTCGGCCTGACCACCCGATCCCGTTAGTCGCCTCTCACGATAAGCAAACTTGCCTTCTACGGCAAGCATGGGTTGCTGAAGACCTATTCTATGCCGGATCTTCACGGGTCGAAACCCTATCATCAACGATCTCGGGTGTTTACATTTTAATCAAACCCGAGGGACGGTGTTTTCTCTGTCTCATAAGCCCAAACAAATATGTATCAACAACTGTTTTGTTTCCAGCACACTTTCCATGAACCTTAAAAAACGGACGTAAAATATATCTAGCGTAGTTGTATTCACATGTTCATGATAAAGCATTGTGATATATCAGCGCCTCGCCTTAGCTGGGGCTAGGCACACATACACAAGGCTACATATACGAAGGTTGCGGGATCGATACCACTGAGATATCAGTAACATTTTTCGTTCCATTTGTCGTTTGATTTTACATCCTTTCTTACATTGTGTTGCATGGATTAGGTTCAAATGGAAACAATCCGTGGGACAGAGGGACTTCCAACAGAATATCCCTGGATGAAGGGTTTTTTTTCGGAAGAAAGTCCCTGCGACAGAGTGATTTTCTGCAGAGAGCTCTGGGACAGTGATATTCTGCAGAAAGACCTGCGACAGTGATATTCTGCAGAAAGCTCTGGGACAGTGATATTCTGCAGAAAGCCCTGCGACAGGGATATTCTGCAGAAAGCTCTGGGACAGTGATAATCTGCAGAAAGCTCTGGGACAGTGATATTTTGCAGAAAGCCCTGGGACAGTGATATTCTGCAGAAAGACCTGCGACAGTGATATTCTGCAGAAAGCTCTGGGACAGTGATATTCTGCAGAAAGCCCTGCGACAGGGATATTCTGCAGAAAGCTCTGGGACAGTGATAATCTGCAGAAAGCTCTGGGACAGTGATATTTTGCAGAAAGCCCTGGGACAGTGATATTCTGCAGAAAGACCTGCGACAGAGATATTCTCTGTGTACCCTGTGGTGACACTGTCCCAGTCGTCAATGTACCATGTGAGGACGTTGTCCCAGTCGTCAATGTACCCTGTGAGAACGTTGTCCCAGTCGTCCATGTACCCTGTGAGGACGTTGTCCCAGTCGTCCATGTACCATACGGGGACGTTGTCCCAGTCGTCCATGTACCATGTGGGGACGTTGTCCCAGTCGTCAATATACCCTGTGGTGTGCCTGTGCCAGTCGTCAATGTACACTGTGGTGTGACTGTCCCAGTCGTCAATGTACCCTGTGGTGTGCCTGTCCCAGTCGTCAATATACCCTGTGGTGTGCCTGTCCCAGTCGTCAATGTACCCTGTGGTGTGCCTGTCCCAGTCGTCAATATACCCTGTGGTGTGCCTGTCCCAGTCGTCAATGTACCCTGTGGTGTGCCTGTCCCAGTCGTCAATGTACCCTGTGGTGTGCCTGTCCCAGTCGTCAATGTACCCTGTGGTGTGCCTGTCCCAGTCGTCAATGTACCCTGTGGTGTGACTGTCCCAGTCGACAATTTTCCCCTTTGGTGTGACTGTCCCAGTCGTCAATGTACCCTGTGGTGTGACTGTCCCAGTCGTCAATGTACCCTGTGGTGTGCCTGTCCCAGTCGTCAATGGTTTTTTTTAGAAATAATAAGGAAATGTAGGTATCTTTGTTGGCAGCATCGGTAATGGCAGCATCGATTTTCGTTTTCATTATTTTGACTTGCAGCACAAAATAAATATTTCACCTGAGCATTGCCTTTTTTATCGTGTTTATAATTTTACAGTCAAAATAAGCAAAATATTCACTAAGGAAATTATTATACGCCAAAATATTCAGTTATATATACAAATTGACTGAAAAATATGTCCATCTGTATTATTATGATAACGAATTCCAAACATTTTTATGCATAATATCATCACTTAGTGACTGAAAATGTTTATTGTTGTATATTTGGCTTCTAATCCAAGCATAATTAATCAAATGTGATGTTTTTGACCGTCTTAATAATTTGTAGTCAATCTTTTAAATAAATCGACAGATGTTTCAGTCAATTTGTAAAATGACTGAACTATTTAGACATTTTATAAATTGCCTGAGTGAATCACATTTTACACATTGACTGTAACATATACACCCTTACAAAGGAAAAGACTTGTGAAAACAACGTCTATCGCGCATCGAAGAACTTCCCATAATTTTTCTCCAGGCAATTAGGGGCTCCGTTGTGTCAAACCATGACTTGCCAGAATGGGCATGGATGCCAAAAAATAAAAAAAAGGAGTAACGTCTTGAAACTCGACAGGCGGGTCGGCCTGGACCCTCCGACCACGTTGGCGCTCAGACATTGGATTTTTCACCATTTTCTCCAGGCCTTAGGGGCTCCGTTGTGTCAAACCATGACTTGCCAGAATGGGCATGGATGCCAAAAAATAAAAAAAAGGAGTAACGTCTTGAAACTCGACAGGCGGGTCGGCCTGGACCCTCCGACCACGTTGGCGCTCAGACTTTGGATTTTTAACAATGTTCTCCAGGCCTTAGGGGCTCCGTTGTGTCAAACCATCATCCAGCAAGACGTAGAGGAACAAAAATGATTCTGTTCACTGCTTCAGCAAATAAATGAAAACAAATGCAAATATCATAATTACAACCTACCAAAGTTATATGTATCATTTTAGGCAGCTTCCTTGTTCGAAGAATGTATCCACATAAAGGAACAATATCCCACTCGTCTGCAGCTGTATAAACAAATTTATTCGATGTCACGTGTCTCTGTAACAATCAAATATTTAAAAATATCGTTTCGGGATATTATAACCCGTGTTCGTTTCACAACTGATCACTTAGTTTGTTTCAGTTTTTTTCACAAAGGTGGCAAGTCTCAAAGGTCAGCTGAGAAAGCCCACGTGACAACTATTTTCATAATGTCCACCGTTCTTAAAAAAATCCATTGAGCTGGATAACAATTAGCAATCAATCAACGTATTATCGGTTAACCCATTGAACAAAGTATGTTCGTTTTACATCGGCACTTCACCCCATGACATTGCTTTCGTAAGTCTACACATGCAAACAGTACTTTTGACATATTAAAGGGGAAGTGTACACGCAAAAATCACTTTCTTTCTTTTTCTAAACAAAACGCAATTTTAGAATTAGTTAGTATCTGTGTTTGAAAATATACACTCATTTTTTTCACAGTGAAAGTAGGAAGCTCACAATAGTGTGAAAATGATATGCCGTTATGAGGCCTTCGTTTTTCGAGCTAAACTGGCCTGAGTTATCCCCCTTACATTATGACGTAATTGGTGCCAATTCAACTGACAAAGACAACAGTGATTAATCAATCAACGTATTTTCGGTTGATCCTTTGATAGCGAGGAATGATCCGTTTATTTACAAAAAAAGTAATTCAACTGATCATTCATCTCTTGCTGGGCTGCCACGTGCATATAACATAACACACATTTCACCTCACTTTCAAACCTGGATTTAGATTGAATAATTACCCCAGACACAAGACATGCCGAATATGAAGCTTTGTCAGGTAATCTGAGTGGTGCTACCACTAATCATACCTGTAATAAATTCACCAACTGAGCATCCCCCACTCGCCCCTTTCCGTAACCTGCAAGAAGATAACCTTGCCTGTCCCGGAATAACACGAGTTGGTCACGAATGCCTCACGGCAGCTTGTGGGCCCCATTGGGAAATAGACTTAAATATTGATTTATTACATATAAATCCACATTAAATTATTTTTTTTCTTAAATAACAATTTATTCACAGAAAACACTCAGAAACATAAACGAAACGGCCAACAAATAAAAATACCCGTGAAGATCCGGGTTAGAACAACCCATGCTTGCCGTAAAAGGCGACTAGCCATGGTTGTCGTAAGAGGCGACTAACAGGATCGGGTGGTCAGGCTCGCTGACTTAGTTGATGCATATCATCGTATCCCAATTGCGCAGAGCGATGCTCATCATGTCAATCACTGGATTGTCTGGTCCAGACTCGATTATTTAGAGACCGCCGTCATATAGCTGGAATATTGCAGAGTGCGGCGTTAAACAACAAATAGTGAGTGAGTGAGTGAGTTGGGTTTAACGCCGCTTTTAACAGTATTCCAGTTATATCGCGGCGTGTCAGCTTTATGTGGGAGGAAAGCCCGAAGTGATGCAGGTCTCAGACGTTTACCACTTCGGTGAAACCCACGAGCACGGGCATGGTGCTGACAAACCTAGAAACATAATCGGGGCGAACCGGGATTCGAACCTACAATCATAGGTTTCTGGCGTGGCCAAGGGACGCAACTTTGCACTGCGAATCGCGGCGCCTTAGACGACTGGGCAACCCGTGCCCCCTAAACAACAAATAACAATATTTATCCGTTTGCTCGGTCGTTTAAATGTACGGAATATTATTCGTTTCGTCGTCAATTCAAATATCGTTTCGTAGTAATTCAATTCCCAGTTTCTAACAAAAGAGCATAACCGGAAACGAAGCGCGCGTTTTAATAAAATACGGAACAGCGCCAGCTGTGTTTCTTCACTTAACTGGTGAGTATTGGATATTATCTTGCAGTGTGCTGTTGTATATTATATGGAGAATCTGGTCGTTTTGGAACGGAGCCCAATCAGCCGTTCTAACACGACTGAATTTTTTTTGACCTGTTGACAAATCCCGATTTGGCTATTCACCCGGGCCTGTAGTGTTTACATAAGCTACATTTCAGCACAAACAGAAACACTTTAAGCAGACGTAGTTGAAGTTTTACGATCTGATAGCAACTATTGTATTGCAACGATAGTACTATTGGTCATGGGTGGATTTCGGGTCAATTTTAAATTATTTAATGAATTATGTATAGGTGAGCCAAGACGGCGAAACACGTCCGCCATATTTGATCCGAGTTCGCCGGTGGTTGCTATAATACCCGGACAAGAGGTGAGGTCTCAGGGTTGATCTTTAGATGGTTTAGCACACGCACACACACACATGTGTTTTATTAAAACCATCTTAACTGGACTAATGTTTTTCGTTCTGCAAAGTCTATTTTATCAGCCTGACTCTACGAAGCTCAGACACTGGTTAGCCTACAGGCGGCCGGATTTTAATCAGCGAATCAGCGCCTGCCCGGTTTTTATAAACATTGCAGGATATACCCCACTCCGATCCAATAGGCCTACCCCACTCCGATCAAACACCTAATCCTACTTTAGAATTCGTCACCACAAAGTTTACAGACATTTCACAATAAACATGACGTATTTTGCATTATTTTTGCATAGATTTACCTTCAAAACAATGTCATGTGATAACAGCATAGCAACACAGGATCTACTCTCAGTGATCTATTGTCTTTACACACAGTGTTACTGCGATCTAAGATTATTCAATATTTGTTCATTAAAAAAAAGCTCGTGGTGGCACATTTTATAGCAAACGCCTGGTAAAAGTAATCTTGTTTTCAATATGTTTTCAGTTTCAACTTAATTCATTGAAGGCTAGCGATCAGTTATCACAGAGGACCAAGTATCGGCCACTCCCTGTTAAAGTGCACATGTGATCGCGTTGCATTTTACTTTTTCTAATTTCCATTAGAAATATTTATAAAAAAAATTATGAACAAAACAGACTTGTCTGAGGAAATATTAATAAACACTAGGGCTTTTACGATTCACTCTCGTATTCGGTGAATCAAACCGTAACCATTCATGAATTGAATTTGTTATTCATGGCCACTAGAATCAAATATTTATGAATATGCTATCATGTATATTTACATACCCTGTACCTATCCATAACAACATATTATATGCATAGTTTTCTTTCAATGACCACACTCTAATTATATTTAATTTGATAGTATTGTTGTCACTGGTCATTGTCGCATTTGAGCAGATACTAGTAACTGGATAAGTGCAGTATATAAATGTATAATTTAATAATAATTAACAAACCATGTCAAATAAATTATGATGTTATTGTTTCACTGAATATAATAAATACTACATAAACTGCTGACTTGTTATTGTAATTGTGAATTAATATTCGTATTCGTTACCCTATATTCGTGATATGAATCATATTCGCCTTACAGTGTATTCGTTGCAGCCCAAATAAACACACAATATAATCACCTTGCTCAAATTCATCTTTAGAAAAGACACACAGAATATGAAAATTGAGTATGATACAAGACAAAATAGAAAATGTAACTTGTATAACTGAAGCAGTGCGCTTGATCATGTGGCATGTGCTGTTGAGACAAAGGTTATGACTGGTACAGTTGGTTGATGGAAAACTTCTGTTTCCATTGTTTTGATTCCCTATTGTCTTGTTAAAACAGAAGTCTACTGATACCTTTTTAACGGACAGAAATACGCGCGTTTGCTCATTGTTTCTCAAGAATATGTTATTGGCACAGTCAACTTTGGACATGGAAGCAGAAATAACATGAAGAAAATGGCGAGAACTGGTCAGTGACCAGTACTGAAAAAATCTGTTATTTTCATTCTTATCACAAGAAGTTATAATAATATAGTTAAAAAGGTGCTCCAACACCCAAGGACCGCCTCCGTGGTCTTGTGGTAGAGCGTCCGCCCGGAGAGCGGAAGGTCCAGGGTTCGATCCCGGGCCGCGTCATACAAAAAGACGTTAAAAGATTGTACTTGTTGTTACCGTGTCTGGCACTCGGCATTAAGGGGCTAAAATAAGGACTGGTCGGCTCGGAGTCAGTATACTGTGTCTGAGTGGGGTATTCATGTTAAACTGCGGGATGGTATCTCAGTGAGCTAGCACTATAAATCGGCATCAGTCCGGACTAGTACAAGCAGCCACACACACACACACACGTACATGCACGTCGCTATATAAGTGCAATAATCTTGGACGCGACGTTAAACCCAATTTCACCTAACCTCACCTCCAACACCCAAGCATGGTCATTAGACTTGGGCATCCCCTGGCAATCCAAATGGACCAAACTAACCGGTGACAAAGGTCATGAGCTATGGTCATGATGGCTGGGACGAGTCCAAATTTATGACCCGGGTACCCATCCCCCTATTACCCGACCCTACCCGGGTTCCCACTGTTGGTCTCAAGAAATAGGTACAAATGTCCGACTGGGAATAGTTTGACCATAGCCCTGGCAAAATGTATTTAAATACTCATATAAAAAGACCTGGTCCTGCATACTGCAGTTGACTGAAGTTTTATCTCTATTCAAACATATAAAGTCCATGAAAGAAATGCAAACATCACTCACTTATAGTGTAACCGTGGAATTACGGATTTATCTGACAAGGGTACTTAGTTTGAAATGCTGGATACATCCCTGTAATCACCTCATTGTTCCCCAGTGATGTGTATCTGAATGCTCATGCTTTGTGTCACCTGTTTGCTTGGTCCCGGCTTGTCTATTTACAGACTCCTCTGACAACCCTCTAATAGCGACCATTTTGGTGGCCAAATGCGACTCAAATCTTTGATTGGCGACCAAATTTTATCTACTGCTTTCCCCTTGGCCACCTAACAGTAAACGTAACTGGCAACATATCTGTTAAGATATCTGTTGGCTCCTATAAGCTTAGGTTTGTCTCCTAAAATAGTCATGTTAGGAGGGCCGAACTAGAGGTCTGTGTAAGATGGAATATTGCTGAGTGCAAGAATATTCTTCATTTAATCATTCCTGTATGTTCTATCAGTTCTAAATGAATATTCTAATGAATGTGTCCTTTTTTCCAGGTTGAAAACCTGTCATGTCCACTAGATCAGCAGTCAAAACTACCCCAGGGGGGACATCAGTAAACCAAGGGGGGACACCCACCAACCCAGAGGAGACACCGACAGACCCACTGGGGACAGGGCCTGACTCTCCTGCACCTTCATCTCCCACTCCTCGAGTGACGCGCCAATCAAGGCGTGCTACATTTGAATGTGAAGACTGTGGTAAGAAGTTCCTGACGGAGCAGATGAAGACTCGGCACAGCTTGATACACTCGGGGGAGAAACCACATGGGTGTGAGCTGTGTGGACGACAGTTCCGACGAACTGATGAGCTGCAGCGCCACAAGACCCGGCATAGCAGGGAGGATGGAATATGCTGCTTTGTGTGCAATGCAGAGCTTGACAGCAGTACAGACCTGGTTGGTCACATGAAAACACACGCCATCAACTTCAAGTCTAAAGTGTCCAGTGCGGGCTACACATTCCGCTCCTCCTCTGTGGTGAAGAGCTATCGGGACCTGTACCGCTCCGACAACCCACAACCTTGTTACGTCTGCTTTACAGAGTTCCCAGGATGTAAGGAGCTTCTTGAGCACCTTGGTCAACACACTGCTGTAGAGCTTTTGAAAGGAAGCAGTGACAGGGAGCTGTGGAAGAGTTCCTCATCCTATGCTGAACTGCAGTATGTCAAGTGGAGAAGGAGAAGGGCCAGCTCCTTACATGGTCTAAAAAGCAGAGGAAGAAGAGCAACTAGTGACAAACCTGAACCTAAATCTGAGTTCACACATGTATGCCGAGTGTGTCATCAGATGTTCAAGGGCGTGGAATCCCTGCTGTCTCATTGGATGGAAAGAAAGGGAAGGAGCGGCCATGATGGCGCAGTTGGAAGTGAGGGCTACGACACTCACTGTATACACATGCACTATCACGGCCGACGCCTGGGGTTCCGATGTGACCTGTGCGGGGAGACTTTCACCTCAGTTACCCCAACAGCCTCTCATCTGGAGGTTCATGCAGATACGGAGGTCAACACGCAGCTCACAGACACACATCTAGAAGAACCTGTGACAGACACTGAAGCAGTCACCGAGCCCACAGTGAAGATTGAGGAGGAGGAAAAGGAAGTGGAGAGCGAGGAAGATCAGAAAATTTTGTTTCACATGTCGGACGAGTCGGACGGGGAACTAGATCCTAATCCGTCTGGGAAGTTTGAATGTTATGTTTGTTTGAAGGTAGCAAAGTGCAAGTCTGCCCTGCGTCGTCACATGATGATACACAAGGAGGAGAAGCCATTCCTGTGTCCGGTGTGTGGGAAGCAGTATGCTCGACCTGAGGACCTGAAGCAGCATCTGATCCGCCACGTGGCCGACCTGTACCAACAGGGCAACTCCACGGACCCCAACTCCAGGTTCAGGTGTGACCTCTGCACCGCTGTGTTCTGCTCTGAGAAGGACCTGCAGTACCATGGAGTGTATCATGGAGTGTACCGACCTAACGCCAGGGCGTACGTCGAAGGTCAGTCCACCGTGTGCCCCATCTGTGGGAAGATGCTGCAGAAAGCCACCAGCCTTCCCTCCCACATCGAGCTCCACACCCAAGACAGGAAGTATGACTGTGGGCTCTGTGGACGTACATTCAAGTCAGAGAGAAACCGAAACCGTCATCAGAAGATCCACACCGGAGTGAAAGAGTTTGTGTGTGAAGTCTGTGGCAAAGGTTTGTCAAGAAAGGCTGAGTATGACGCACATTTGAATCGGCATAACACCGACCCAACTTTCAATGGTAAAGCTGGTCGCAAGAGAGGCACGAAGGTTATCAATAATAAGGTCATTTACTCCAAGGAAATCTACAGATCACCTGAGGACAAGATGGCCGTGGCCAGGAAACCAAAGACTCGAGTTGTTAGGAGGGATCAGAAGGTTCTCCATCTTGACAGTAATGGAGAAGTCTTGCTGGACATGTCAGGGTTGTCGGGGGTAACTCACAGTCTTCTGTCTCTGCCAGAGAAAAGCATCATCCCACTTAAGAACAAGAAGAGGAAGATGGGGGTGGTCATGGTGGATGACACAACAGAGTCTCCCACCACTGGACACCAGGTGGTGCTTCAGAGTGTTGAGACACAGACGGAAGTTCTGACACCGGAACAATCCTCTCTGGCTCATAACATCGACATCATAAATTCTGAACTGACGGAGCCAACAAATATTTTGACTTCGGCTGAAGTGACCAGTGTTGATGGTGTGTCTGCGGCAGAGGACGAAGCAATCATCATCATCGTGCAGGACCCCACGACGGGGGAGAACGAGGTCCTGACCATCAAGAGTTTCCAGGAGGGGGCCTCCAAACTCATCAGTCCCAATGAAGAACTGATGAAAGCCTTGGAAAGTTTCCAGAAAAACAAGAGCCTGGATGAAATGACCACATTGCCAGCTGGAAATAGTGACGGCAGTACACTGGTGAAGACAGAAGTACTGGATCACCCCGAGGATGAAGCTGGCGATGAGGAACTTGTAACCATGGCAACATCTGCCACTATACTTGATGAAGCTCTGCCTGAGTTTCTAGGTGATGTTACATCGAGCACAGCCACACAAGAGCCATTACATCCAGGTGACAAGGTGTCTGTTCCAGAACATGGTGACAAAATGGCGGTTCAACGACAGGATGACAAGGTGTCCGTTATGGCGGTGAACCAGCCTCAATTGCCAGCCATCAAGGTCTCTGCTGATCAGGCCACGACACTATCTGGGAATGGCGGTCAGTCAGTCAGAAAGCCAGTCGTTTCCTCTCATCACTTGATTGATTCCAGCCCATCTAGGTAAGCCATGTTTACAATCACTGAATCAATATAACTCACTCAAGGCATTCTATTGTTAATTACTTGCACATGTTGCAGGTCAGATCATCCCAAAATATTCTTTAAAAAGGTGTTTTTTTAATAACATATAATATGTATGCAAAAGTTTGATTTTTGATCCAGCTATGACATTTTACGTACCTACATTTTTCTAGTGTTACTGTCATTTTGACAACTCTGAAAGTCACCACCATAGATATCCTGGACCTATTCACCACCATAGATACCCTGGACTTATTCACCACCATAGATACCCTGGACCCATTCACCACCATAGATACCCTGGACTCAATAACCAACATAGATACCCTTGGACTCATTCACCACCATAGATACCCTGGACTCATTCACCACCATAGATACCCTGGACCCATTCACCACCATAGATACCCTGGACTCAATAACCAACATAGATACCCTTGGACTCATTCACCACCATAGATACCCTGGACTTATTCACCACCATAGATACCCTGGACCCATTCACCACCATAGATACCCTGGACCCATTTACCACCATAGATACCCTGGACCCATTCACCCCCATAGATACCCTGTACTCATTCACCACCATAGATACCCTGGACCCATTCACCACCATAGATACCCTGGACCCATTCACCACCATAGATACCCTGTACTCATTCACCACCATAGATACCCTGGACCTATTCACCAACATAGATACCCTGGACCCATTCACCACCATAGATACCCTGGACCTATTCACCCCCATAGATACCCTGGACCTATTCACCAACATAGATACCCTGGACCTATTCACCACCATAGATACCCTGGACCTATTCACCAACATAGATACCCTGGACCCATTCACCACCATAGATACCCTGGACCTATTCACCCCCATAGATACCCTGTACTCATTCACCACCATAGATACTCTGGACCCTTTCACCACCATAGATACCCTGGACCCATTCACCACCATAGATACCCTGTACTCATTCACCACCATAGATACCCTGGACCCATTCACCACCATAGATACCCTGTACTCATTCACCACCATAGATACCCTGTACTCATTCACCACCATAGATACCCTGGACCTATTCACCAACATAGATACCCTGGACCCCTTCACCACCATAGATACCCTGGACCTATTCACCCCCATAGATACCCTGTACTCATTCACCACCATAGATACCCTGGACCCATTCACCACCATAGATACCCTGGACCCATTCACCACCATAGATACCCTGGACTCATTCACCAACATAGATACCCTGGACTCATTCACCCCCATGGATTTGTCCAGTTTGAATGACACAACATGACATATCTTATTAAATTACACTGTTCTTTCATGAGGCTGCAATGTAAAATGTCGCTATATATTTGATTGGCCATTGAGTTCATGCTCATGAGTGAAAAGTTCACAAGCTGAAAATGAAATATTGTGGTGGTGACATCACTTCCAAAATTTAGGAAATTATGTTAATAAAATTGTGATGACAAGGTGCATACAGGCATGAAAAGGTGTTGAATTTGAGTGTCAACCCTCAAGAATCCTTGAAAATCACCAACATAGCTTGAAAAGCCTTGAATTTGAACAAAATAACTTGTAGTTGTAAATAAAAGTATTAAATTTAATCTATTTTTTTATTTGTTGGTAGTGAAAGTAAATCTTGTTTGAAAATTTGTGGTGTTCATACTGCTTTTTAGGTCTTGCGTTTAATATTGTATGCTGGATTTTCAAAAATATTTACGGACTAAGTCTAATAACCCTACTAAAACCGCCTTGAATTTTGGTGTTCCACATCTGTAGAAACATGGATGATATGATACGCTGTATAATCTATGATTGTTTTCAACATGCTCATAATTTTTGTCCACCTTCTTCTTCCAGTGTTCCGCCTGGACAAACCGACAACCTCAATGTCAAGGTCGTGTCCTTCTCCCTGGATGAGACAACAGGTATCCTTGTTCCTATATACCCAGAGAAGACCAGTCTCACACTGTCAGTCATTGGGGACAGACCAGCAGGTGTTGCCACGGAAACCATCCCTGTAGCAGGTGGTGCAACGGACACCATCCCTGTAGCAGGTGGTGCAACAGACACCATCCCTGTAGCAGGTGTTGCCACAGATACCATCCCTGGAGCAGGTGCTGCCACAGATTCTATCCTTGGAGCAGGTGTTGCAACGGACACAATCCTTGGAGCTGATGTTGCCACAGACACCATCCCTGGAGCAAGTGTTACCATGGACACCATCAATGAAGCAAGTGTTGCTGCGGACACCATCAATGAAGCAAGTGTTGCCATGGACACTTCAGCAAGTATGGTGACTCTTGCTTCTGGCAACGCTAAATTACGTGACTCCAGCGAAACAGCAATGACGTCCATGTTGCTGAACACTGATGGCGACCGGACTGCAGTGGAGGCGCTGATGCAGATGAAGTCACCGCAGCATGCAGGGCTGAGGCCGCATCTAGTAGGTCCAGGCGGAGACAGGACCACATGCCCTGATGTTCTGCAGAAGTCTGTCAGTGTCCCAGTGTTGAAGTGTACTCCAGATGGCAGAGTCATCAAGACTCCAACAGGTGCTCCAGCAATTTTCAAGTCAGTCAAACTATCTCCAACCTTACCTCCCAGTCCCCCAGGGAAAGCTTTGCAGGCTCAGTCTGCAATTGTGTCAACTTTAGAGAATCCTGTCCGTGATGATGAATACTATGTTGGTGATGATGGCGATGACATTTCTAACGATGATGAAATAATGGAAGAACCCGTCAGGAAGAAGAGAAGGACAAAGAAGGATGCAGAGTGGATCCCTGCTAAACCAGTTCGTAAATCTCTCCGCAACAGTTATGAAGGAGTCTCAAAAATTGTTGCCTCTCTCCGCAGACAGAAGAAGCATCCTAGAGAAACCGTGAAGAAGATGAAAGCCAAAGCTGATGTTGCTGCTGCAGATGCTGTTGACATTGGTGGGAAGGAGAATGGTGAGCCAGACCGAGAGTTTGTGAAATGCAACATCTGTCGCAGCCTACAGCCATGGGAGGACCTGAGACACCACATCGACACAGAGCATGGGGCCAACGCCTACCAGTGCGGGCTGTGTTCACAGGGATACGACAGCAATGTGGATCTCCACATGCATCTGTTGGGGCACGAGAAGGACGACCGCATCAAGAGGACGTTGTCGCTGTTGACGGGGGACACGGAGGTGAGGAAGCAGTTAGTGAGCACGGGGCTGAGCCCGGCGTTGAGCGGGGAAGCGTCAGCTGCCATCTTGGCCCTGGAACGGGGTGGGGATCTCAAGGAGGTGCTGGCTACTGTTGAGGTCGATGTAGAGGACCTCATCAACACTGACACAAAGACCAACAATAAAGATGGTGGGACTAACATAGAGGACATAGTCAACATCGACACAAAGACCAGCAGTAAAGATGGAATGACAATAGTGACCATGTCTAATGTTAGGAGCGGTGTGGAACACGACTTAGGTGATGGGGGATCAAGTCAAAACCCAAAAAGTGTTAGAACTTCCACAGAGACAAAACAGGATTCCAGTAGCAGTACAAAAACTTCTGCCAACAGGGATTCCCGCATCAAGAACTCCTCCTCTACTGAAGCCACATCAAGTCACACTGAATGTTCTGATGACGCGAAGCAAGATGAAGATTGTGCAGCTTGTCGTGAGTCCTTCATGTCCTCATTTTCACTGAAGAAGCAAAACTCAGAATTGCCTATGAAGCAGCACACCTGTGACAGGATGTCATCTGAGGGATGCTCGCAAAAGGAGGAGGGAGACGAGAGTCGGGAGTGCCTCACTTGTGTGTGTGGTCTGTGTGGCTACCGGTTTGTCAATGTCAACCTGCTCACCAGGCACGTCAAGGCTCATTACAGAGAAAAGCCTTTCTCCTGTGACATGTGCAACAAGAAGTATGCCCGTCGGGACGAACTCGTGAAACATCGGATGTCGCATCAGGCGGTTGTTGTCCACAAACCTAAACAGGAGCGACGGAAGTTCCTGCCGAGATCCAAAACTGGGAAGTACCCGTGTCACCTGTGTAAGGAACAGTTCAAGACCTACCAGAGCAGATACACACATGTGCTGTGTCATGAGAGTGATAAAGCCAGTACTTGCGAGAAGGTCGACAGTTATAAACCCAGAGACAAGTCTAGCAATCATAAACCCACAGACAAGTCAAGCGTCACCTGTGATGTGTGTGGCCTTGTGTTGTCTGGACCTCGGCATCTTGTCCGACACAAGCTCATTCACACGAACGAACGCCCATGGCTGTGTCAGGAGTGTGGGAAAAGCTTCCTGCGTAGTGACGATCTCCGCGTCCATCAGAGACGACAACATGGCAATATTGGAAACTCTGACACCAACAGGGAATCCAAGTTCAGGAAAGTTTGTCCTTTCTGTAAACGAGTCTTCACCTCTTTCAACTCCTTCCGCAACCATGTGAAAACCCACAAGAGTGAGAGACTGGATGGAAGCCTCAAGTGTGACATCTGTGGGAAGGTGTTCATCAAACACATCAGCCTCCGCAACCACCAGCAGATACACAAAAACACGTACCGCCGTGGCATGAAGAGAAACACCACCGCTCATAAACCAGCGACCTTGACCTACAACTGTGAAGACTGCGGCAAGCAGATCAAGAGCAAAAGCAACTTCGTCCGTCACATGAAGCTGCACAATGAGGGCAAGCATCACATCTGCTCCAAGTGCACCAAGGGCTTTGCACGCCAGGCTGATCTACGCATGCACGAACGGCTGCACACCGGCGAGCGTCCATTCCTGTGTAACCTGTGTGGCAAGGGCTTCACTTCAAACTCTGCCCTCAGCCACCATGTGAAGATGCACAACCAGCCCGTCGTGTACAAGTACTCCTGCACCCAGTGTGAGGGCCTGTTTGCTTCCAGGAAGGAATTCAAGGATCACGTGAAGAGCTGTACACCGAAGCAGATGGAGATTGTCTTCATACAGGGGACGGAGGCTGTGCCCATTGAAACTATTGAGTATATATGAAGAGGCCGAGAACAACACACATGAAAGGCCCATGGTGTAGATCTGGGTTTGACTTGTCTTCGGCAACCCATTCTTGTCGTAAGAGGCGACTTCCAGGATCGACTGGTCACTCACTGACATGGTTGATGCATGTCATCATATACAAATTGGGTAGATAATGGTCATCACTGGATTGTCTGGTCCAGACTTGAATATTTACAGAACTGTCATACAGCTGGAATATTGCTGAATGTGGCATTATACAACACACACTTGAAAGACTGTATACCTTACAGGTAGAGAAGGTCTTCATACAGAAATAATAATAATTAATAATAAAAATAAAAATAAAGCAATGCCTGTTGGAATTTTGGTATATGTCTGTGAAGGGTGATCAGTGGAAATGAAGATTGTGAATCTATTTTTATTGTGTGTTTTTATTTACGTTATTTCAAAGTGGTACCTAAGGCTAAAAACAGTAATAGTCTTGGTTCTCAGGCATGCCGGCATCATCATAAACTCAGCCGCACATTACGATTTATTTCCATTAATAAAAAAAATCCTAATACTTATAAACAATGTGACCCAATATAGCACGTAGTTACTTCCCTTTACTGCGCATCTCATGTTCTGGTCAGGGCAGCAGTGTGAGTTTGTATGCTTGTTTATGTAGGGAGGCCCTTTCCCAGGATGATGGTACACCACTGTTTATTGGGTTAAATACTAGTTTGAACAAGCAAAAAAAAAAACACTGCCTGCCTGCACTATATTTTCAAAAGTCATTGCCTGAGAACTAATTCTTTTGGGTTGTCTATGGCAACAGAGACCGTCTCCGTGGTCTAGTGGTAGAGCGTCCGCCCGGAGAGCGGAAGGTCCGGGGTTCGATCCCCGACCGCGTCATACCAAAAGACGTTAAAAGATGGTACTTGTTGTGGTAACCCTGTCTGGCGCTCGGCATTAAGGGGCTTAAACAAAGACTGGTTGGCTCGGAGTCAGTATACTGTGTCTGAGTGGGGTATTCATGTTCAACTGCGGCATGGTATCTCAGTGAGCTAGCACTATAAATCGGCATCAGTCCGGACTAGTACAAGCAGCCACATAAACACACACACGTGCATGCACGTAGCTATATAAGTGCAATAATCTTGGACGCGACGTTAAACCCCATTTCACCTCACCTCACCTCTATCATGTCTATGGCAACAGTACATTGGTTAACAACCCCCATCATAGAAGGAAATAGATGATGCTCAGGTCACACACAATCCAAAAGACCTGGAAATGAAAAGAAAATGGACAAACTTTCTACATCATGACTGCTTATTTCCGTGAGTGCCCTGTGAGTGAGTGAGTGAGTTTTTACGCCGCTTTTAGCAATATTCCAGCAATATCACGGTGGAGGACACCAGAAATTGGCTTCACACATTATACCTATGTTGGGAATCGAACCCGGGTCTTCGGCGTGACGAGCTAACGCTTTAACCACTAGGCTACCCGACCACCCCGAGTGCCCTGTGACGCAACTGAACACCTCCGTGAGTGCCCTGTTGCACACTTGACAGGGAAAACATTGTCCTAAGGACAGGTTTTGGCTGAGCTTGAGGTGATGTGAAAGGGGGTTTAATGTTAAGATTATTGCACTGATATAGCGACGTGTGTCTGTGTCTGTGTCTGTGGCTACTTGTATTAGTCCAGATAAATGCCAGTCTTATAGTTGTAACTTACTGAAATACCAAGCTGCAGTTTTATATGGATACCCCCACTCAGGCACATTATACTCACTCAGAGCCAACCAATCCTTATTTATCTCCTCAAGGCTGAGTGTCAGGCAGGGTAACAACAAGTACCATCTTTTGACATCAGCAGATCAAACCACCGACCTCCTGCTCTCCCACCCGTGAAGATCCAGGGTAGAATACGTCTTCAGCAACCCATGCTTGCCATAAAAGGTGACTATGGTTGTGGTGAGAGGCGACTAACGGGATCGGGTGGTAAGGCTCGTTGACTTGGTTGATGCATGTTATCGATGACCACCATGTCACAATCAAATGACATCACTAACCCCTCTGCGGCAGTACCTGGTTAGCTATACTTTATACACTCAGGACACTGGTTATTACTGTTTACAAACTGAAAAAGTTGAAACTGGTTTTGGATGATAAATAGAATCCCAACCTAGTGTCTACCGAGCTCAAATATATCAAGACTTGTTGACAAATAGAAAGAACCTTGACAAGCCTTGGATATCTGTAACTTTTGTCAGCTGGTCTTGATATATTTGAGACCCGTGGAGATCCGGGGTAAAATAGGTCTTCAGCAACCATGCTTGCTGTAAAAGGTGACTATGCTTGTCGTAGGAGGCGACTAATGGGATCAGGAGTTCAGGTGCAGTGACTTGGTTGATGCATGTCATCATATCCCAATTGCGAAGTTCAATGCTCAAAATGTCAATCACTGGATTGTCTGGTCCAGTCACGATTTTTTACAGACCACTGTCATAAGGCTGGAATATTGCTGAGTGCGACGTTAAACAACAAACAAACAACTTTTGTTTCTTATTACTTGAAAGGAAGCGTAGCAAATTGCATCCTGTTCATCACCAAAATCTCCAAACAAGTTTTGTTTTGACAACCCACCGTACAGGGTTCGAAATTCTTTGTATTACAGCGCCAGTAACATGGTTAAAATTGTAATACTATGGTCAAAATAAGTCCCAGGACATAGTGAAGGATAGCAAACTTGTTTATTATATGAAGCCAAGGATAAATATATTTTCACAAAACTTAAAATTTAAAATGGACCATGTGAACTGACATTGAAAATGGACATACTGAATCAATAGTGTGACCGACATCTTGATTCACAGATAATCCTGGTGATTCAGAAACTGAAAGGTGTATTAGGCCTTTTTTTAAACTGGTTTACAGATTTTTTCTCCCAAAAATTTGTTTGTAGGGAAACAATAAAAATGATAAGATATAATAATCTGACACCACATGACAAGGTACCTGGGTGTGGCTAGAGTTACTTCCCCTTAAAGGGGCACTGATCTAACGCAATTCCCCGGGACTGGTTGTTGCCTTTGTTATTGTTTTTTCCCAGTGAGTACCTGGATGTATAGCAGAAATCTAGACTAGTTCGTGACCTCTGATGCGCCATTCGTAAGCGCATTAGTCACTTTTATGGGTAGTAATCAGGGCGTATGATCACATTGATCAACAAAATGAAATACAGTTTTCGAGATAATAAGGAAATGTAGGTATCTTTGTGAGTAGCATCGGTAATGGTGACGAAGTTTTGATAAGTCACTAGCTTGGTAATTTTGCGATTTTCGTTTACACTATTTTGACTTGCAACACAAAGTATATATTTCACCTGAGCATATGCTTTTTTAAAGTGTGTATATTTTGTTACTGTCAAATGTGTAACAAATTTATTAAACGTCTAAATATTCAGTTATTTTACAAAGTGACTGAAAAACATTTCCATCTGTATTATTATGATAACGAATTCCAAACATTTTGATGTTTAATGTCATCACCAAGAGACTGAAAATGTTACGTTGAAAAGTACATTTCTATGTTGTTTGGCTTCTAATCCAACATAATAATCTGTTGTGATGTTGTTAGGCCCTTTTGGTCGTCTTAATCAATTTTAGTCAATCTGAAGAATTTCCCAACCAAGACGTAGAGGAACAAGAACGAATCGGTTCAATGCTACAGCCAATGAAGGAAAACAAAATGCAGATATCATAATTACAACCTACCAAATTTATGTGTATAAGTTTTAGGCAGCTTCCTTGTTCGAGGAATGTATCCGTGAATATCCACACAAAGGAACAATATCCCACTCGTCTGCAGCTGTACAAAGAAACTTATTCGATGTCACGTGTCTCAGTAACAATCAAATATTTTAAAAGTTATATATCGTTTCGGGATATTATAACCCGTGTTCGTTTCTCAACTGATCGCTTGGATTGTTTCAGGTGTTTTACATAGGTGTCAAGTCTCAATGGTCGGCTGAGAAAGCCCACGTGACAACTATTTTCATAGCGATCACGGTTCCTAAAAATTCCATTGAGTGATAGATAACAATGATCAATCAATCAACGTTTTATCAGTTAACCCTTTGAACAAAGTATGTTGTTTTTACATCGGCACTTCGCGCCATGATATGAGTGTATTCCCTTTGTTTTAGTAAACCTAGACATGTAAACACTCACTCTTGACATATCCACTGTGCAAGATAACAGTGATTAATCAATCAACATATTTTCTGTTAATCCTTTGATGACTAGGAACGATCCGTTGATTTACAAAAAAAAGTAAATCAAGTGATCATTCATCTCTTGCTTGGCTGCCACGTGCATATTACATAACACACATTTCACCTTACTTCAAACCTGGATTTAGATTGAATAATTACCCCAGACACAATAAATGCCAAATGGGAACCTTTGTCAGGTAATATAAGTGGTGCTACCACTAATTGTACCTGTAATAAATTCATTAACTGAGCATCAAGTGAATGACGACAAACACACAAGTGTAGGGTTATACAAGAAAACGTGGATGACAACAAGGGAGTAGTAATCGTATTATAGACGCAAGCCGAAATCCGAAAATGCTTTCACTGCATGGATACTGTTTTTAGTATTAAACTATAACCATCTGGGGTATTTCCAAATGACGACGTCCGATGAGCTCCCTTGTTCTTTTTGTCTGTTTGTTTAGGCTGAAGAAATGAATTAACATGCGCCCTTTGTCGAAATCTTTATAGATCACAGTTAACCAATCAGTGTTCAAAAATGCGTAAAACAAATATTGCCTCCAGCCTCCAAGTTTATTTAGCTGTCCTTCCAGACGGTACCCCAGTCTCTGGTCACGCTCAGTTGCGTTGCGTATCATCCGGGTACTCACGGGGGAAAAACAATAACAAAGGCAACAACCAGTCCGTTAGATCAGTGCCCCTTTAAAGTCATTGCTAAAGTGATTCCTTCTTCAAAGTAGTGAGTTATGATGGCAAAGTTGTCGCTTTATTGTGTTGGGGTTTGGTTGTGTTCTGCTGATGGTTCTTAGTAGAGACCTGATATCGATAAACTCTGCCAAGTGTAGCGGCCATGAAATTTCAGAGTCCCGTGATGGGATTCGAACAACGGACCCTTTCTGATCCGAGGTCGGACGCCTTGCCCTATGACCAAAGAGGTTAACCCTGTCAGCAAGCTGACAAGGTAAGGATGTCATCTGTGGATGTCTTCATCCACCTCAACAATTATCCACCCAATCTGGTCGACAAAATCATCTCCTCGGTACTCCATCCCACATCCAGATCTGCGACCCTTAAACCCAAGTCAGCGCCCTTCCGCATCACCCTCCCTTTCATTGGGAAAGCCTCCCACATCATCAGTTGCCTCCTCAAACAACAAGCCAACATTGACACCTACTTCACCAGTTCCACCTCCCTCAATACCCTACTAAGAGCCAACGGCAGGAACACCACCAAACCCAAAGAGCCTAAAGGTGTAGTTTAAAAAATTGACTGCCACTGTAAACAATCTTACGTATTTGAAACATCCCGCCCCATCTACACCAGAATCAAAGAGCACAAAACCTCAACCATCAAATCAGCCATCTCGGACCATATCAGCAACTGTCCTAATCACAACATCAACTGGGACAACGTCCAAATCCTCTCCAGCAACCTCCATGATTTCACTAAAAGAAAACTAACAGAAGCTGTCCACATTTGCCGCCACAAGCCATCAATCAACAGAGATCAAGGCTATTTCATCCCATCCACCTACTATGAACTCATTAAGCAATCACCACACCGATGCAAACTTATCCTGTTTATTTGGCTTCATGTCCCATTGGCTTTCACCAATGTGTTCTCTGTCCATCATGTTGTGACAGTATTATCCTTCTGTTGTCATTACCTACTCATGTTATCCCACTCATGTATGCTATTGTTGTTACTGTAAATCCTCTTCTGTTAATTCTCCAATCACTATATATATTCTGCACAATGTTCAGTCTTGCTTGACAACGGTATAAGGATCTATACCGAAACGTCGCCTTTACAGTATTAAAGAAGTTGTTATCCATATATTGTGTCTACTTTGTTATCCGTCAACTTCTAAGTAATGCTTATCAAGCAATTCAGTGTGGTTACCATGGTTAATTCTGCATAAGTGCGTTAGCGTGGTTTAATAGAGATAAGGTTGCGCATCATGTCAAACGTGTTTCCATCGGGCTGGACACTCAACCTACGGCCACTGTCCGTCACCACCTCCAAGTATCCAAAGTCATCCATCCCCGTAATTGTCACCTCCTTACCCCCCTCACTCTCCACAGTCACACGCACCCGGCTGTGAAGCCAGCTCTTGTAGTACCTCTCACAGAACTGACGATGTCCATGGGTCTGGAAGTCTGTGACGAGTCTCTCGATATGAGTCACCGTCCTGGCAATGAGCTGGTCAGTCGAGCAGGGGGGTAAGTCTGTGCCGTGAACAGCATTATACTGTTGGACAATGTCGTTGATACAGATGGTCGGGTTTCTGTTCGTAACATTAAACCCACACCCGACAATCGCATGAATTGTAGATCCCATGATGGTCGACGTGACTATGACTCCACCCAGTTTCATCTTATTGCTGTAGTAGATATCATTCGGCCATTTCAGCTTCAGGTCAAGGTTCTCGTACCCTGCCATGGACGTGATGCCGCTGACCACTGCCAGTGCTGTGATGTGTTGAAGGAAGGTTACTCTCTGTCCGAGCTGACTGTTGGTAGGGACCCGGACATGGAGGCTAAACATGGCGCATCCCTCGGGACTTAACCACGCGTTCCCCCCTCGCCCCTTCCCGCTCGTCTGCCTGCCTGCTATTGCCACTACTCCAATACTCTCGGAAACGGAAAACTGCAGTCCTTCAAATAAGGTCATTGTTGTTGGTATCACATCAGCGTAAAGAACTGTTTGACCAAGACATGATGTTTTCAAATTTTTCCAATACGCTTCTTCACTGAAGTATTTGTGTTTGTGAGGTCCTGAAGTTAATACAGGCAGATGGGAACTACTCACTGTAAGATTCTGAACATCTGTAGCGATGAACTCAAGATTCACTGACCTAGAGGTCAAGCACCTTCCCTTAAGTCGATTCTCTAAAGATGAAAGGAACAACTCCTTAGTTTTTGGAGAGTTTGTCAACAGAGATGCTGGCGTCAGAGGGGGTATCCTCTGTTGAGAACAGTCCAGCCCAAGCCATGTCAGGAGGTATTTTAAGATTTCAATCCGAGCCGAATTATTGTACTTCAGCTGGTCAAATGTGTCTGGATCCATAGCAGCTTCAGATGGATCTTTTTCTAAATGCAGCTGGGAAAGAACAGCTTTGCCTGCAGCTGTCCCTTGCCCAGAGATTCCCATCATCACCGGCTTCCCTTGTTGATAGTCCCGGGCCAGCACATCGACACATACTCCTGACGTCACGCCAACATAGCCCTTGTAGTTGTATCTTCCTCGGATGCATTTCACGTCTTTCCATTTCTCACTCATACTGAAGACGGATAAACTTGCTCTGGGTTGAAATTCCTCTCTCTCAAGAAACTTGGTTTCAAACATGCTTCCAAAACTCATCACCTGCCCTCCATTGTTGTAATAATCAAGGAAAATATCGTTTGTACCGTCGTAAAGGCGTTCGGTAGCTATGACAAGCAGAACAGTGTTGTCTAGCCAGGGCGTGGTTGTGACCTGGTCATGTTTCAGATGGTAGACAGTGTATGAGTCCGTGTTCACACAATCAGTGATAACTTCAGAGACACTCTGAAATTGTCGAACTGAGTCATGCTTTCCACAGTAGATCAAAATATTGGGTGGTTTAGGGCTTAAAGCTTTTACTGATTTATCCTCATTTGTCAACTCTGATTTTGATGTTTCTTGGACATTTGCTGAACTATCAGTTGGATTGGACTGATCCGACTTCAGATGAGACCGCTGAATGTCCACAGGATCAGGGAGGCTGATCCCACTGTCACCCCCTGGTCCATTTTCTGTCATAACTGTCTGCATTGATACAAGATCTAAACCTTCTCCCTCTTTCGGACTTTCTTCACCTAATATGGTACACATGTCGATGAAATCATCAACGCTACATCCTACCAGAATTCCTGCGCGTGCACCACGTGTCCATGCTATTGGTTGGCAATATTTTAAGATCCAGTGGTGACCAAGATCTGGAACTTCTGTAGATATATTTCCCTCCAGTAAAACATGCAACTCATGTGGCTGACTATCACTTGTCTCTCCAAACCGACTCCATGTTGACAGATTTACGGTATTCTTGGGGGTGATCGAAGACAGTAGAATTGTATCGTCGTCGTGCAACTGGGTTCGAACTCCGGGTGATTTTGGTTTGACAAACTCAGAGTAGTGAGCCTGCTTAGAGGATACAGTTACTATTCTGCTTACTACGATGCTGCTGGTACGTACGACATGGCGGACTGCCGACATGAGGACTTCACGTCTGCGACATCGTCGATACCACTGAACCAATGAAATATATCCCAAAGCAAGAAACATCACTGAAAGAGGTTCGTACCAACCGCTGTTAAGTGTCACTCCTTCCCACGCTTGTCGTTTGATCCGGGTCACTTTTACTTGCCTGCATTCACGATTAAGTCTGGGTCATGTTGCCCTATTGAGTGCATGTTCCCTACACTGGCACAGTCAATATCAAAAGTACAATCACATGTGGAATGCCAGGGTCGTATTTATGTAGCTCCTCCACAGCGTCACCATTGTCCCTCCTACCTCACACATTAACATTTCCGCCTTGTGGCTGTAAGGAGCTCATGCAACCTTGACCTTACAGTATAAACTTTCAACATTGCTTTTCTAGAGGAGGATATTAGCTGAGCGACACCTCTGTCGTTACACGGAGGACAACCACATGGAAAACAAAACAAATCGGTCTGCTCGAAGAGCTCACAACATGTCCTGTTAATGCTTTGGTACTCGTATCTTCATATTCCATGGGCTTTAGTATAATAAGTGTTGATTATCGGGTGCAATGCATGTATTAATCGGCAAGTCATTGTCAAAACAAAACTCGAAGCTTCGTGGTGTTTCCGTATTATCACTAACCTGCTTCAGGTGACTCGATCCGTCGTAGTCGGTTTCAGGTTGGATTGAGTGTGATATGCCTAATTTGTATAATGCTATGCATTTATTGTTTAATTATACCTTACCCACACCTAGGCCTACGACTACGAAGTTTGCAAAATATTCTACCCTTGTCTTGTAGACCCAGCCAATAATTAATCAAGTTATGTTATGCAAACAATAATTAAGACTAATTAATACACCAATATCTTGCCTACGAACTAAATATTCTAGTGTTGGATCTAAGCATCACACTAGGGCTAGGACGATTCCGAATTTACGACCTGGGTACTCCGTTCCCTATTACTTGACCCTTTCCTGGATATCCACTGTAGGTCTCAAGAGTTGGGTACATAGTGTCAGATTGGGAATTGTTTTACCGGAGCCCTGGCAAATACTATTTATATTTAGATACATGTATAAAACAATCAGATCATGCATACACTGAAGTTTTATTTTTACTCAAGTGTATAAAAGTCAGAAACGTTGCATGCATAGGCAAAAAGAAATATAAACATAGCAACATTTATTGTTATAGTATTTAAACAATATATCACTAACCACAGGTGTGGGTAGTCCAGGTCCTATTCAGGACCCACCCGACCCAAGTACCCAGAGTTATCTGCCCCAGCCCTACATCACACTCATTTGTAATGCTTCATCAGCTATAAGCAAACAGCTGCATGCATGGTGACATATGACACAACTGAAACTGAAGTGTTCACGTATAATGCTGTCGAGAAACGTGCCATGAACTCATCTCACTGACTTGTAACTAACTAAAAAAAACACCAAAATAAATCATAGCTGACATTTAACATGTGAAAAGAGTTTTAATCAAAGTCATCATGGTGAGAAATTACAAGCTGTTATGTACCAGTAATCCAGTTTTGTTACTTGACGAGATAGAGATTTCTCCAATTGCATTACAATCTGACTGTAACGATCCATGTTATATTGTGAGCATGTCTATTATTACCATGACTACAACCCTGTTTCGAAGATCATATATATGATGGCTTTGCTTTGCAGGACATTCAAAGAACGAGGTGACTGATCCCACACAGATTCGCAACATGACTTGCACACAGTACAAATGTCTCTACCATCTTTGTCACAGCAGGACTGTACAGAGAAGACTTGGTTTAGAGCTATACGTTTTGAAAAGAAGCATCTTTAAGACAGCATCACAACCTAAGCAATGTAATCTGAACTCTGTACCATCCCGATGCTGTCAGTATGGGAAAATCAAGGGATTCAGGTCTGCAGCAGAAGAAAATAATATATCCAGAAGAAAAAAACACGACCATTGTTACAGTCGTGGACTCTTTCTCGGTACCAGTTCCACTCAACAACACCATACAAGGGGATTCTGTACTGGAAAACCAAATGGACCTCCTTGGCGGATTCTGTTTTTTGGGAGTGATGTTTTTTCTGTGAAAATTCTTCAGGCTCTTCAGGAAAACAGGTGTGGGTCTGTTTATTGTACTGGTGACCTCGGCAGAAGTTAACATACAAGCCATGGTTTCTATATTGTTTGTTTATCTGTTGTTAAAAACCACACTCTGCAATATTCCCATCTTCCCGAGGCAAGGGTGTTAACTGACTATTAAAGTCCAGGTTCCACTCCTGCTGAACTAGGCCTGAATTTGGATGGACTAACAAGTCTATGCATAGCCCGTTTGAAATCGCATAACAAACTAGACATCCGGTTCACAGACAACATGGATTTCAAAGTGCATATTTCGGTCGACTGAAGGATTTGCAGAGCATAAGTACCGCCGACTAGGTGTCGACAGATATTTTGCAAATCTTTTCATGTTTTTAATTAAGGTGCTCACATGATTTGATGCACTTCATGAGGTAAGACTTGGTTGATGCATGTCATCGTATCCCAATTGCGTAGATCGATGCTCATGATGTCAATCACTGAATTGCCAGGCCCAGACCTGATTATTTAGAGACCACCATCATAAATCTGGAATAATGCTGAGTGCGGCGTTAAACAACAAACAAACAAACAAAACTTATCTTAACCTGTACAAACTTGTCTATGGTTTATGTTTTTTGCTTGATAGAATTGATAGACTGGGTTACTATATAAACAAGTTTGAGTAATAATAGTTTACTAACACACTTCTGAGATCTAGTTGAGGTCGCCCGGGATGATGGTTAGGTAACTGTAACGAAACAGAGGATGGTTTAAAGGCTTTGTAAACTTAAGACGACTGATTACTCTAGACAAAGTCAATATGTGAAAAAAGTAGCCTCGGACCCGACACCTTCGGCAGTTAGACCACCTCAGGGGTTGGGTCCTCTGGTCCATGTTTTCGGATACTGACCTCGTCAAGAGTAAATATTTGTATAATGTAGCCGAGTCACTTTGTCATGTTGTGTGTGTTGTGTTCTCCAGATCAGCATATGGTGACACACTGGTTAAGACTCTGGATGCTGTGTCAACAAAAGGTCAGGTAAGGCTAAAGGTCAGACAATAGAGGTCAGGTAAGGCTAAAGGTCAGACTATATTGGTCAGGTAAGGCTAAAGGTCAGGTAAGACTAAAGGTCAGACTATAGAGGTCAGGTAAGGCTAAAGGTCTGACTATAGGTCAGACTAGAGTTCAGGTAAGGCTAAAGGACAGGTAAGGCTAAAGGTCAGTAAGGCTAAAGGCAGGGTATGAAACTCCAATAAATTTCAGCCAGACCACAGGACTGGCTAGCTGAAATACTTGCCAGCCCTGACCAAAACCTGCCTGCCCACTATAATCATATGTTTCTCAGGATAATTTAATTAAAACTTTAAAACGAATTCATTGAACATGAAGTAATACAAGAAAAGAAATAGCAAACACTTTTTAGGTTAGATTTGTATTTAATATCCTAGAATGCATCATGTAAATAATGCTTATCATCCGGAAATATAAAATATGAAATATAACCCGACCGTCGGGCAGGGGGATTTGAAAATCTGGCAGCCCGAGTTGAAATCAACCCGTCTCGGACGGTCGGGCAGGCAGGTATTTCGAACACTGCTAAAGGTCTGACTATAGGTCAGACTAGAGTTCAGGTAAGGCTAAAGGTCAGGTAATGCTAAAGGTCAAGTAAGGCTAAAGGTCAAGTAATGCTCTGGGTCAGGTAAGGTTGACCACAGACTTGTTATATAGGTCCGTGGGTTGACAATACTTACAATCTAATGAAAATCACATCTTAGGTCTCGCTGGTGTTAAACAACAATCTGAGGACTTCCCATTACGGATCACTTGAGAATGACCTTTTATCCGACCAACCAAAGCGTTGCTTACGAGATCAGGAAGGTAACAGTAAGAATGTGGTTCCTAATCATGCCACCTCGAACAGGTTAACACGGGATATTCCAAACGACTGTGTCCATCACAATCATTGTCTATCTCTTGCTTCAGTGGGATAAACATTTGAAAAGGATGAGACTTTCAGAACCCCCCAGGAAGTACATGTACTGCCCCCCATACAATCTGGTCCACCTATTAGATATTCCAGAAATTTCTTTTTTCAGTTTTCAAATTTTCAATCAAGAATTATTTCTTTTCCAATTTTTTATTTCTTTTGAGAAGGATGTTCCATTTCCACTTGGCAGTCGGGTAGCCAAGTGGTTAAAGCCTTCGCTTGTCACGCCGAAGACCCGGGTTCTATTTCTGACATGGGTACAATTTGTGAAGCCCATTTCTGGTGTCCCCCGCCGTGATATTACTGGAATATTGCTAAAAGCGGCGTAAAACCATACTCACCCACTCACTCATGTGACTAAAATGCAGTCAGATGTTCAATCAAGAACTTTGTCAAAATATTTTTCAAAGCTTAGTCACCATATTTAGGCTTGTTTTGTAAAGCTAGAGAAAGTCTTTTATCCATGTCCAAAGGAGTTGAAAAGTCAATGCCAGACAATAATCAGTCTCGGATATCTGTCGAAAAAGACTTGATTCAGACTCCAGACTTGATTATTTACAGGCCGCTTTCATATAACTGGGATATTGCTGTGTGGAGAATTGAACAACAAACAAACAAAACCTCTGCCAAGCTGGAGAGACCCGTGAAGATCCGGGGTAGAATAGATCTTCAGCAACCCATGCTTGCCGTAAAAGGTGACTAACGGGATCGGGTGGTCAGGCTCGCTGACTTGGTTGGTGCATGTCAACGATCCCAATTTCTTGGATCGATGCTCATGATATTAATCACTGGATTGTCTGGTCCAGACTCGATTAATTTACAGACCGCCGTCATATAGCTGGAATATTGCTGAGTGCGGCGTTAAACAACAAACCAACCAACCAATCAAGCTGGAGAGAGATAAAATGAGATTGGACACAACCAGTTTGCTTTGTGAATCTGCTTCCGAAATTCAACAGCAACACTGGAAACACAGAACTGTACCATTTAGCTTTGAATAATCTGATCTTGTCTCCAGAACAGCATGAAGTCCTATGCCGAATCTGTGGGTGTGTCTGTCCGTGACTGGCCAATACCGGACCTGACCGGCCATTATGACATGGGAGTTCTCGCATCGTTTGGCCAGCTTGTACCAGGGAAAGTCATCAGAATGTTTCCACAGTAGGTCACACTAGAAATCCCTTCCTCTCCGTCTGCAGATTCTCGTCAGGGCTTTATCAAACCTGCTCAGAGGCCAATCTTCGACTCCAAGTCTGCAGCAAATATCAGCCCAAATTCCCAAATTGGAATATAACAATTCCCAAATTTGAATTAAAAAATTACCAAATTGGAATAAAAAAAATCTGAAATTGGAATGAAAAAATCCCAAATTGGAATACAAAAAATCCCAAGTTGGAATGAAAAAATTCCCAAATTGGAATACAAAACTACCAATCTGGAATAAAGAATTCCCAAATTGGAATACAAAAATTCCCAAATTGGAATAAAAAATTCCCAAATTGGAATTAAAAAAATCCCAAATTGGAATAAAAAAACTATATTAACATGATTAATAATGTTATGGCTTAGTAACAATAGCTTGTATGTCCCTGAAAGCAGGACCAATGAAGAAGAGGCTTTACTGCATATACTTACATTATTGCACTGAATGCAATCATTAAATACCTCAGAATCAGTAACAGGTTTGCCTGTTCAAACATGATTTGACACATAACCATGGGTTGTCAATAATGCCTCCTTTTGCATTAAAAATGTTAACAACATTTGCACATACCCTCTGTTTGTAACCTTGGCATAGAGTTGGAAAATTTGATGATGATAAATGCTGATTTGAGGAGTTGATGGCTTCCAGTGGTATCCTGAATGTCCATCCAAGTCTGCTGCCTCGCTGGAGGGGGGCGTCGCCTCTCGTACACACCATCCTGTCACGTGACCAGGTGACTGGAGTCACCATTATGAGACTCAGGCCCAAGCAGTGAGTGAAAACATTTACATATTTCAATCATGAAACTGTAGATCTTTTAGTCCAGAGTCCAGTTTCCACACTTGCCAAACTAGGCTGGAATTTCTAGCCTTGAATTGAAAGTGGACTATGTTCAAAGTCATGTATGTGTCCTGCATGAATTTTTTTGTAAAAATTGAAATTTCCAAATCACAGTGGTGAAGAAAACTGACATGTGATTGGCTCAAAGACCTGAGCATCATTCATTTAGATTAGGTGGTCAAAGGTCATTACGGGTTTGCCTGACGCAAGCTTCTATGGAGTGTCCCAGATCTTAATGCAGTGTGAGGTTGTATCAAAATAAAATATCTAGGCCTCATTCCTCAAAGCGAACGTGGCACTACGGCAGTTGTAAGTCTGTGTTAAAGTATGGGAGTAACGATCACCTTTATGGAACGGACCCCAGATTTCAGTGAAATTGTATTCTGAATGGATATCCTTTCATTGATCTAAATTCCCTATTCAGGGTGATAAGGACATGAAACCAAATTGGTTCAGACCAATCATTGGAGGGTTGATCATATTTCCATGCCGAGAGGAATTGTATCGGAATTACTAAGGGTAAAAAAATAAAACAATTGGTTCTCAGGCAATGACTTTTGAAAATATAGTGCAGACGGGCGCTGTTTGTTTTTGTTTTTTGTTTGTTTGTTTGTTTTGTTTGGGTTTTTTTTTTGGGGGGGTGCTTGTTCAAACTAGTATGTAACCAGTCATCTGATGACTCTTGTTTGTCAATGTTACTGTTCACAAGGGGCAGGGCTGCTGTTCACAAGGGGCAGGGCTGCAGTTCACAAGGGGCGTGTCTGCAGTTCACAAGGGGCGTGTCTGCAGTTCACAAGGGGCGTGTCTGCAGTTCACATTGGGCATGGCTGCAGTTCACATGGGGCGTGGCTGCAGTTCATAAGGGGCATGTGAGCAGTTCACAAGGGACGTGGCTGCAGTTCACAAGGGGCGTGGCTGCCGTTCACAAGGGACGTGGCTGCAGTTCACAAGGGGCGTGGCTGCCGTTCACAAGGGACGTGGCTGCAGTTCACAAGGGGCGTGGCTGCAGTTCACAAGGGGCGTTTCTGCAGTTCACAAGGGGCAGGGCTGCAGTTCACAAGGGGCGTGTCTGCAGTTCACAAGGGGCATGGCTGCAGTTCATAAGGGCCATGTGAGCAGTTCACAATGGGTATGGCTGCAGTTCACAAGGGGCATGGCTGCAGTTCACAAGGGGCATGTGAGCAGTTCACATGGGGCGTGTCTGCAGTTCACATGGGGCATGGCTGCAGTTCACAAGGGGCGTGGATGCAGTTCACAAGGGACGTGTCTGCAGTTCACAAGGGGCATGGCTGCATTTCGCAAGGGGCATGGCTGCCATTCACAAGGGGCGTGGCTGCATTTCACAAGGGGCGTGGCTGCAGTTCACAAGGGGCATGGCTGCAGTTCACAAGGGGCGTGTCCTTTTACCATGATGGTGGTGATGACCTCTGTTGTCTAGTGTTTTATTTGTTTGCAGTTTTGATATCGGCACCGTCCTAGCTCAGGAGAAAATGTCAGTCCCGGACGGATGTACGACCACCCAGTTGCTGGATGTGACGGCTCGACAGGGGTCTCAGCTGGTGAGTGTGTGATAGGGAGAGAAAGCTGTTGACAGTGTTGGATGTACACAGTGTCTGATGTTGTTCACAATGTCTGCTGTTCTCCACAATGTCTGCTATTGTTGCAGCTGTTGAGGACTCTTGAAACTCTGCCAAAGATACGGGAGAAGGAACAAGACAAAGATGGAGTCACCTATGGTGAGTTTTTTCAAGGTGCCCCGATAATCCGGGTTGCAATAGGTCCCCTGTGATCCAGGTTAGAATAGGCCCCCAGAAACCTATGGTGAGTTTTCTCAAGGTGCCCCGATAATCCAGGTTGCAATAGGTACCCTGAATCCAGGTTAGAATAGGCCCCCAGCAACCTATGGTGAGTTTTCTCAAGGTGCCCCGATAATCCAGGTTGCAATAGGTTCCCCTGAATCCAGGTTAGAATAGGCCCCCAGCAACCTATGGTGAGTTTTCTCAAGGTGCCCCGATAATCCAGGTTACAATAGGTCCCCTGGATCCAGGTTAGAATAGGCCCTCAGCAACCTATGGTGAGGTTTCTCAAGGTGCCCCGATAATCCGGGTTGCAATAGGTACCCTGAATCCAGGTTAGAATAGGCCCCCAGCAACCTATGGTGAGTGATCTCAAACCTGCCACCACAATCCAGGTGACAATAGGTCCCCAGCAACCAAACTTGTCATTGTACCTTGATGGCATGGGATGTTGCTTTCATATCAATAACTGGATTTTCTGATCCAGATTTATTTTTTTTACAGGCCATCGTCCAGATTTAGTAATGCTGCACATCCGGCAGTCTGTCCTCTCACACATCACACCACCCACTCAACCCCCTAAACCTACCCACATGCTCCTTGTCTAAACACTCACGCACACACGCACCCACCCACCCACCCACTCACTCACTCTTTCACTCTTTCACTCACTCCTGTCTTCCAGCACACAAGGTGCGGCCAGCCATGGCGTTCATTGACTGGGAGCGGCAGACAACGGTGGACATACACACACAGTACAGAGCTCTCAGCCACATGGTGAGGCCCTATAAAACACAATTGTAAACATATGATTTTTATCGTAAAAGATTAACATAGAATGACCATTAAAAAATGATTTATAACCCGTCAGGGAATACTTTTTGCATCAGAGTGATACGCATACATAAACAAATATGTTATAAATAAGAACAATAACAGATACTGTCAATCTTGAAATTAACGCGAGCGTGGTGTGTGATTGGATTAATGTAAGGATGGATTACGGTGTGGATTCTCCTGTAAACCTGACAGAGGACATTTTCTTTATACATAAATCCACTGATGCTTGACAGGAGGTGGGTGTCGCATTCATATTGAGTCGCATTTTCGGCTACTTTTGGAGACGCATTAGTTTCACGATTTACAGTATCAAAGTTATACCATTTGTTTTTTGTAGAATTGTGTAGTACCAAATTACATTATTAGATCATACATATCCCATAACATTATTTCAGATTCCCCTGCGTAGTGAGTTTGACGGACATCCTGTGAAGCTACTAGACATGCAGACAGTCAGTGAAGGTATGCATATGCATTGTTCGAAATTGCAGCTTGCCCGCTAGCCAAATGCCAGTGACTTTTGAATTGGGCTAGTCAGATTTTCATAAAGATGGCCCGACTGTCTAGTTGAAAACTGTAGACATTACATATTTATTTCTACGAATCATCAAGTCAGTTGAGGCGACCTGTGAAGATCAGGGGTAGAATAGATCGTAAGAGGCGACTAACGGAATCAAGTGGTCAGGTTCGCTGACTTGGTTGATGCATGTCATCGATCCCAATTGCGTGGATTGATTCTCATGATGTCAATCACTGGGTTGTCAGGTCCGGAATCAATTATTTACAGACCGCTATCATATAGCTGGAATATTGCTGAGTGCGGTGTTAAACAACAAACATACGAACAACATTTAATGTCAAACTCTGATGATATTTTGATTTCATTTGTAAGTTGTTTGGGTCTCGTTAAATAAACTATGAGGGCCTGCAGCATTTTTGTCAACAAGCCCTCCTGTCCAGAGAACTTTGGAGACAAATTCATCCACGGTATGTATGTGGAGCACAGGAACTCGATGATAGCATGTATAACATAATATATTCGTGTAGAAAAAAATCACACCCCTCTATATAGTCTCTATGTATATAGAGGGGTGTGATTGTTTTTCAATATACGAATATATTATGTTATACACGCTATCATCGGGTTCCTATGATGTGGAGGTGTGTTTCCCGTTTGTTTCTGTGTTCAAAGCAGAGCTGGAGATAAGCTGTGTATTCGCGTAAAATACGCATCAAATAAACTGCTATATCCAGACAAATGAAATCCTAGCGTATCAAATAGGCAACAAAAAATATAAATAAGTTATATGAAATAAAATGAATGCATATATTACAACAGTTAGATAAAATGAAATAACTATTGTGTATCAGCCGGTCGCGAAATTCACTTACAGTTGCTTCTGCGACAAACATACAGCGGTAGTTACGGTTGTATCCGCGGGAATATGTGAACTTCAGCCGACATTGACCCACTTGAATTTCTGTAATCAGCCGGTAATATGTGTAGGCCTTATTGTGTCATGAATTACGGAGGCACATCATGGTCCTAGTCGATGTGCAAGTTGTGTCTTAATATAGTGGCTGATTGGTGAATAAAGAAATAAACAAATTAACAAAATATGGTTTCCTGGAGAGGGAGCCACAAGCAGACACAGACGGGTATACTAGTATTCACATTGTTTTAAATGATTTACAGAGATTGTCACGAAACAGTTTTTAAGATAAATACCAAAATGTCAAGAAACAGGTGGGTAAAAAAAAATTTGAATACCCTCTAAATCATGTGGATACCCAATCCAAATCAAACCCTGGGTGAAATAAACAAAAGCTTATCTGTGCTTAGCTGTGGTTCAAAGTACGACGACCCTGTGGGGATTCCAGGTTAGAATTGGTCCCTAGCAACTTATGCTGGTTGTAGGTGGCGAGCAAATGGATCGGGTTATTAGGCTTGGTGACTTGGTTGATGCATGTCATCGTATCCCAATTGCGTGGATCGATGCAAAAAGCAGAAACACACACGAGGACGTGAAATGTTTCACAGATAGAGATTGCTTTTATCATTTTTGCATATTTTTAGCTCACCAGCACAAGGGCTCAAGTGTTTATTGCTTGGTTTGTCCATCAATGACCTTGTATAATGGATTAATTATACCCCTGACCAAGGTTCCGTCCGTTCGCCTGTCCGTCCGTCCGTCCGTCCGTTCGTCTGAAAACTTTGTCCGCGCGAGTTCTCTTAAACTATTCAGTGGATTCATCTCAAACTTAGTACATATAATCTTTGTCATATGGAGGGGTGCAGTCAAAAGAAAAAAATTGTTTTTATTAATTTTCCATTTTTTTATAAATTTTTCAAACCCTAACCCTATCCATTATTTAATTTGAAACTACTGACACACTAGGCGGGTCGGGGGTATTAGTGAGCCATGCTCACTTTTGCCCTTGTTCTTCATAATTTAGCTGCAATGTTGTCTTAAGTAAAACATTTCACTCACTCCTTCCTCGTAGGTGATGTTGCAGGTGCTCTTATTGATGCAGCCCCAGGAACGGTCGTGTTTGACAAGAGACTGAAGCTGCTGTGTGTCAGGTGTCAGGTAGGTACTGAAGGTGCCTAATGATGTCACTAGGGTTTGGGTAGCCCAGTAGTCTGAGGCATCTGTTTGTTTGTTTGTTTGTTTGTTTGTTTGTTTGTTTGTTTGTTTGCATGTTTGGTTGTTTAATGCTGCATCGATCCATTGCACATCATTGATCTACGCAGTTGGGATCGATGACATGCATCAACCAAGTCAGCGAGCCTGAACACCCGATCCCGTTAGTCGCCCCTTATGTCAAGCATTGCCTTTTACGACAAGCATGGGTTGCTGAAGACCTATTCTAATCTGGAGCATGTGTGATATAATGGAGGAGAAGGTCGGTGGTTCGAGCCCCATACATGTCAAACCAAAAGTCTTTCGTACATAAGTCCCATTTCATTCAAAGTATTTTGCATTTTCCATGGTTTTAATTGCAGAATACTTGTTTGTTTTTAAATGCTTTGGCTTAAACTTTCTAACAATCACCAGAGGGATGGTGTAAATCCTGCTGGGGTACCATGCAGGAAGCAGTCGACCGTAAGTCCCCGTGGTCCCTTGTATGGTGGCTTAACTTTGGTTGCTTGTGATCTCTAGCCAACTTTTATAATGTATTGTACTGATAAGTTATAGTTACTTACTAGTTTTATATTTATAGCTGTGATACTCTAGTTCTTTTACTGTCCTTTATCGATAGGTTTTATAGTCTATATCTATGTATTATTACTGTACAACTTGATTTAGTCACAATATGGCTGAAATATTGCCGATGTTACTATAAATCTTAATTCACTCACTCACTTTCAAAAATAGTACTTGTTGATACCCTGCCTGAGGCTAAAACAAGGACTGGTCGGCTCGGAGTCAGTAAACTATGTCTGGGTGGGGTATTCATGTTATACTGCGATAGGTATATCAGTGGGCTAGCACTATAAAATTAGACCGGATTATTACAAGCAGACACACACAAACACACACACACACACGTCGCTATATATTAAGTGCAATCATCTTGAACGCGACATATACATTAAACCCGATTTCAACTCACCTCACTAAGCCGAGTAGTCTAAGTAACTACAACTAGCTGTGCAGAGTCATTAGAGATGCAGTCTGCTACTTTAGTCGCTAGTGCACGAGTCTTGTAAAGGACAAGGGATCATAATGGCCCAAGATCTGTATAATTTAAGAATTGAGCAAAACGTTTGTAAATTGTAAGACAAGTAGACTTTGTGCATTTCAACATTGGCATGTTTTGGACTTTTAACAACACAAAATGTGTTTGTTTGGCTAAAAAGTGTCGAAAAATATAATTTCAGAGGCTTTAAGACAGCATTTTTTATGACGTTATAAGCGCCCAGGGCACTCTCAAAATTAGAAATAGGGGGCTCTTATTAGAATATTATTTTGGTGAAAAAAACTGATTTGAAAGATAAATTTCGTGGTTTATGCTGACAGCCTGAGATGTTTGGAGTCATGTTCTTACTATTTTATCTCATTTTACACAGTTTCGTAATCCATGATAAGTGTCATTTTAGAAAATGCTAAAAATATTGTTAATACTCAGTCTGAATTTTAATGTCCTTAGCAACTTTATTGGGTCAGTTACACAAACAAAACAACGTTTTCCTCAAATACGCACAAATTACACATCATGTGAAAACCCTGGCTAAAACGAACTGACTGCCTTGTTGCATACTGTCAGAAGGACCTTCTCCACTGTTTTTAATACTTTAATACTTAATACTGTCAAGCCCCTTGAAGATCCGGGATGGAAGGGTCTTCAGCAACCCATGCTTACCATAAAAGTCCACTTGTCGACTGATAAGGGGATCGGGTGGTCAGGCTCACTGACTTGGTTGATGCATGGCATCATATCCCAATTGTGTGAATCAATGCTAATGATGTCAATCACTGGATTGTCTGTTCAAGAATCGATTAATTTACAGACCGCCATCATATGGCTGGAATATTGCTGAGTGTAGCATTAAACACAAGCAAACAAACAAACAAATAATACTGTCAAACTGCTCACTTGGCGTATTTATTAAATAAATTCATCCTTCCTTTTAAGCATTATTCTGTCGCCCACGTCAAAGTGCTTTGCAGTCATCAGATGCAAATCATGGCTCATGTAAAGATGTATATAAAAATATATGCACATATTTTTAATATCGATTTTCCAAAAATTCCCATCAGTTAATATTCTTGAAAATGAGATATAATGGAATTATGAAAACCTGTTAACGGTTTCTATGGAACTGTTGAATTATTTCAAAATGAAAGTGACAGTAAAGTGTAAATATCGTCATGCATTTAATAAAATGAATAAACCTTTTGAAACAAGAGCCATGGAAGTGTTACGGCAAGGGAGGGAACTCTTCATGCTACCAGGTCTCCCAGTTGTCAGGGAGACAGCATGTAACAGGGCACAACACTATCGTTGGTTGGTTGATTTGTTGTTTTACGCCGCAATCTATAATATTCCAGCTATATGACGGCGGTCTGTAAAATAATCGAGTCTGGACCAGACAATCCAGGAATTGACATCATGAGCATCGATCCAGGCACTTGAGATCGATGACAAGTATCAACCAAGTCAGCGAGCCTGACCACCCGTTCCATTAGTCGCCTTTTACGACAAGCATAGGCGCCTTTTACGGCAAGCATGGGTTGCTGAAGACCTATTCTACCCCGGAATCATCACAGGTCCACAACACTATCGACACTAGTTTCAATCATGTAGGTACAGTGCAACTATTATTTAGCATTCATCCAAAGCCGACTCAAAACTGAGGTTATAGTTCCACTGTATTTTATATAAAATTGAGCTCCGTGAAGATCCTGGTTGGAAGAGGTCTTCAGCAACCCATGCTTGTCGTAAGGCGATCAGGTTGTCAGGCTCGCTGACTTTCTTGATGCATGCCATTGTATCCCAAGTGCGTAGATTGATGGTCATGATATGAATGCCATTTAGAATGTGGTCAAATGTTATATTTGGGATAACACCTTCTTAGTAAAGTACAGATTCTCGTACTTCTTTGGGTTGAGACCCGTCCCTGATTCAAACCCACACTGCCAGAGTGAGGCACCTTATCGCCAGCACACAAATGGTCATGATGTCAATCACTGGATTGTCAGGTCCAGACCTGATTATTTACAGATCGCCGTCATATAGCTGGAATATTGCTTTGTGTGGTGTTAAAACGAACTAACAAGAAAACAAACAAAATGGAGATAAAATACACTTGATGGTGTTGTTTGTTTGTTCCAGAATGGCTGGGTTGGCTTTGAGAATATTGTCTTCAAAAAGAAGATGTCTGCCCAGGCTTTCTACAATGGTTATTTATCTAAAGTAGCCGACAGGAAACTGTTCCTGGATAGTGTGAAGAACGGACTCGACGTGGAGAGTTATATGCGGGGAGTTCTTCAAAGAGTGTGACTGCTTGTAAATATAATAAAGATATCTGTTTTCATTTGGTGAGTGTTTTGAGTTGAAGCCACAATGATGTGATCTCTCCATTTAAGATGACTCTACGTCACCAGGGGACCGATTCTAATCCGTAATCTCTATGAGGGTGGGCAGGTTCCATGACTCCATGTTTGTCATCAGTTGCCACGAAATGGAGTGGTTGATGTAGGTTTGGAGTAGGTCCTTCTGATCAAGTCACTTTCAATACTGCTATGTACCATATTTTCCGTAAATACACATGGTAATCTTAATCCCTGGATATAAAACAATGCCTAGCAGAACAAAAAATACCATTTAAATGGTAAATCAACATGTCAACATCTAAAATTTTGAATTTGTACTGACCAAGTTTCTCATCACCTGTTCGTTTGCCGGACTTCGCTAAAGGGGTACGGTGTAATTTTTTTCTGCTCTTGGTATTCAAATTTTTTTTTTCTCCAAAATATTGAATCCGCTAGAGGGGGGTGCGCACTATACTCAAGAAAATGTGGTATACAAGGATGATATAGTGCATGAGGGATACATATTTTATTCACGTTCGAAAACATAATCTTTTGGACTTGGTGCACTAGAAGACCCCCACTTGAAATAATAGGAAATATTATTTGTCAGAGTTATGTCCCTTGCCTCATGAGTTGGAACGTTGTATGCTGTACCCCAAGTCGTACATATTTTCTTGGAAATTGCTATGGATACGAAGATGACATTTTGCATACAACACAAAGGGATAAATATGTTGATGTAGTTTGAATACCATCATCAATAATTCAAAGATATGGCCCTTGTTTGGTCTTTTGAACATGTGCACAGTACTGCCAGTTTTTCGGAAACCCCTACAGAATACATTTAGTGATATATGTCATCAATTTTGAAAACTGACATCAAAAATTGATATTTTACAGAGTTATGGCCCTTTGTTTGGTCTTTTGAACATGTGCACAGCACTGCCAATTCAGAAACACCTACAGAATACATCATTTCGTTAAAACTGACATCAAAAATAAATATTTTGGCCCTTGTTTTTTTGTGTGTGTTTTTTCAAATGAAGATAGGGTTCATTTCAAGAACATATCTTATGATCTGTTTCATATGTCATGACTGCGTCACTTCAGGCTTTCCTCCCACATTAAGCCGATGCCGTGATATAACTGGAATACTGGTAAAAGTGGAGTTAAACCCAACTCACTCACTCACTCACTCATGCGCGGGCTCGCTCGTCATGAAATTGTGTATACACACGATGTTCTGGAATTGATTGTTTTTATCAAGTTCAAATTTAGGTGTTTTTTCATCTTGTGCCAAACTTTTCATTATTTCTCCATAAAACTTTGCATCAGGTAGACTGGTTTGTTTGATCTAGACTCAATTCTTTACAAACTACTGTGATTACAGTTTGAAAATTTCAGCCTTTGGTGTTAAAACAACATTCACTCACTCCTTTCCATGGCTGCTAGGCTTTCTCCAGGAATGGGGATCAGATGTCCAAAATGGATGGCGATAGCTCTTGATTGCAACCTAGTGAGGGTGCCAATCCCCCCCACACAGGATTTGTTTGTTTGTTGTTTAACGCTGCTCTCAGCAATATTCCAGCTATATGATGGTGGTCTGTAGATAGTCGAGTCTGGATCAGTCTATCCAGTGATTTAGATAATGAGCATCATCGCAATTGGGATACAATGACATGCATTAACCAAGTCAGCGAGCCTGACCACCCGATACCGTTCATTGCCTCTGACGACAAGCATGGGTTGCTGATGACCTATTCTACCCCTGATCTTCACACTTGGGCATCCAGCATACCACTTATGTAATCTTGGTATCCAATTTAAGAACTTGTGAGTCATTTGAGTGTACACAGCTGGTACAAGTAAATTAGACTGGGATTTCACATAGAATGCAGGAGAAAGCGTGGTCATTAACTTTGGGCTAAATATTTTCACACAAAAGGACAAATTAAATTCAACATTGACATATTGGTATAATGAACCAGAAAATTTCATGGCATCCAGAATACCACTTATCAGGGCTCGGCGGCATCAGTCATTCTGAGGTGAGGCGAGGTGAAATTGGGTTTAACATCGCGTCCAAGATTATTGCACTTATATCGCGACTTGCATGCACGTGTGTGTGTGGCTGCTTGTATTAGTCCGGACTGATGCCGACTTACAGTGCTAGCTCACTGAGATACCATGCCGCAGTTTAACATGAATACCCCACTCAGACACAGTATACTGACTCCGAGCCGACCAGTCCTTGTTTTAGCCCCTTAATGCCGAGCGCCAGACAGGGTTACAACAAGTACCATCTTTTAACCTCTTTTGGTTTGATGCGGCCAAGTTTCGAACCCCAGACCTTCCGCTCTCTGGACGGACGCTCAACCTCTAGACCACGGAGGCGGTCAGTTTTTATAGAGTGACTTTGTACCCATGTAAGCCTTTTGGTTTGACATCACTTTGAACAGTATTCCATTTAAATCTCTTTTAATGTGAGAGGAAAGCCCGAAGTGATACAGGTCTTGGACGTTTACCAAGAAACCGACCCATGAAGATTCTTGGGTAGAACAGGTCTTCAGCAACCCATGCTTGTCGTAAAAGGTGACTATGCTTGTCGTAAAAGGCGACTAACGAGATCGGGTGGTCAGGCTCGCTGACTTGGTTGATACATGTCATTGATCCCAATTGCGTGGATCGACGCTCATGATATCAATCACTGGATTGTCTGGTCCAGACTTGATAATTGACAGACTGCCGTCATATAGCTGGAATATTGCTGGGTGCGGCATTAAACAACCCACCACCCAAGAAACCCATGAGGATAGGTATGGTGCTGACAAACTTAGAGACGATCATTGCGAGCTAGGATTCGAACCCACAATCATGTAACATGTAAAGATAACTGTAATTGATGACAAACAGACGATTGAGTTCTAACATTTTATTTACAGTGTCTTCAATAAATGAAAACGCCTTTCAATTCAACAGAATGAAAGAACAGTCACTATTTACAACAGCTCGATACACAGCACCCTTACTGTGTGTGATATATACAATATCTACAGATCCAGGACAGGACAGGACAGGACAGGACAAGCATATTGGTTCTTTTGGTATCCTTGTTTCAGTGATAAAAATATATTTATAAGTGATGTATGACTGTCTCTTCATTGTCCTGAGAGGCAAAGACAAGTCTTCATCTTCGGTTTTACAAATTTACATTTTTTGCTTTGAAATGTTTCTTGTCCATTACAAGGGAGACAATACTCTAGGCCAAACATTGGACTTTTAGAGTTACCCCCCCTTGACAAGGGAGACAATCCTCACAACATATAATGTTCAATAAATATTATTGAACAACTAAAACATCAGAATTCAGATCTTATGACTTTAAAACTATTTTGTCCGTGTTTAATATCATCACAGGAATTGAGAGTACATTTATATATCATCAGTCTTGTACCGCATTCTTAACTGAGTTTAAAACCATCCCCTTCATTGCACCTCCCCATGGTATTGAGTGTTTTTTAGAGTTTGCAGGCTGATCCGAAATACACACACACAGATTACTTTTACTGACATGGTACTGACATAATGATTTCCTTGTTCATAACTGATGTTCTTGCTGGAATTTCTTCATGAAATTAACAAGGACTAGCGTCTCGTCCACCTTGACAGCGTTGTAGAGTGAGACACGCAGACCCCCGACAGATCTGAAATATACAAGACAATGTAAATCACACGAAATATATATATGTGTTTATGACAGAGACAAAATCTGTATGAACGCTGAGGACTACGAGATATGGGGCCGATATTGTTTAAAGAATTTTACCGATTCAGTGGACAAGATTGTTGGAATGATTCCAAGTATTGAGTAAGGTTTAACGTCGCTTTGTAGCAAAATTCCAGCAAAAACCATGGCAGGGGACATCGGCAATGGCTTCACAGAATTTACCCATGTGGGAATCGAACCCCAGACTTTTGGCATGACGAGTAAATGCTTTAACCACTTGGCTACCTAATCCTGTTATGACAAGAGCATGTAAAAGGACTGTTGCTGTTATTTTGTGTCTAAAACATCGTTAACTTTGTGTGATTTTTATTATTACCAACAATTACAATCTCAAAGCCTCATATTATCAATGTCAGATTAAATTTCTATCAATCAATGCTCAAAATGCCAATCACTGGATTGTCTGGTTGACTCAGTTATTTACAGGCTGCCATCATATAGCTGGAATATTGCTTAGTTTGGCATTGAACCACAAACAAACAAAAACAAAAGTTTGATAAAGCCTACTTACCTATGACCTTTAAGTGAGACGAGACCATTTTCTGTTGCTTCTTCAATGAACTTCTTCTCCAGGCTTTCCACCCCCTCGGCTGAACCAATACGGATTGGAACATTCATACGACTCCTACATTTCGTATCGAGGGGACAGCTGTAACACAACAAAGCAAATGAGAGAACAAATAATAAACTGAAAAACTATTAATATTCAATAGAGGCACTGAAGGCAATGGCTGCTGTTTGAAGTTTTGACAGAATTAAGGGACACAACTCTGCAGATCAAAATCAGGGCAGACAACTCTAGGAAAAGAAAATGGGGAAACAACACAGCCAAAAATAACCGGGAGAAAAGGCGTCATACCACCTCAATCTGTGAGTCTAGAGAGCGTAATTTTAGTCACTTTTTTAACCTGACATCTTTTCTATGTTATCAGAGTAATTATTTCTTACTGATTTGATATATGTCATAGAGACAAGAAGCTTGTTGATTGTATATCTTTCCTGCTTTGTCTTAACAGATATAGCTGTGTAGCATTTATATGTGTGATAACACATACCTGAAGAAACCATTTGATTGGTCGATGAGATCATAAACTGCAGTCGACTTAGCAACTGCATTGTCCTCCATCTTCTCCACGCCTCCTTGTTTCCGGATCCACTGGAAGACTAGTCCCATGATGTAGATGCTGCAAGGAGACACAATCATTAGGGAAGGGTTCAGCAGGTGCTTGCCCAAAAGAAGACTATGCTTGTCATAAGGGGCAACTAATGGGATCGGGGGGTCAGACTCGCTGACCCATGAGGATCCGGGGTAGAACAGGTCTTCAGCAACCCATGCTTGCCGTAAAAGGCGACTATGTTTGTCGTAAGAGGTGACTAACGAGATCGGGGGGGGGGTCAGACTCGCTGACTTGGTTGATGCATGTCATCGTATCCCACTTGCGTAGATCAATGCTCATGATGTCAATCACTGGACTGTCTGGTCCAGACTCGATTATTTACAGATCGCTGTCATATAGCTGGAATATTGCTGAGTGCGGCGTTAAACAACAAACAAACAAACATTAATATGGCACCATTTACAGTTCACTAAGGGAATACTTATGGTTCCAGAAACTATTATTACACTGGGCAGTGGATCAGTGTGCACTCAATTTTCTTTTTCAGCTCCTTGGGGAGCCTTTGAGGCGCTAGAAGGTTAAATCACACGATCACCTCATCCCTCCGGGTACCCATTTACTGCTGGATGAACAGAGTCTTTTTTTAACAAAGTAACTCGGCTGAGGAAACACCAAAAAAATAGAATACCGAAAAAATATTCAGGTTGAAGCTTGTGTGTACCTGTACGTGGGAGGAGTGTTGTAGAGGGAGTTGTTGCCGACTTGTGTCTTGTAGTCGAAGATGACGGGACAGGTGGGCATGGCGTGGCCGATGAGGTCTTCGCGGATGATGACGAGGGTAACGCCAGCACAGCCGATGTTTTTCTGGGCACCGGCAAATATCGCACCGAACTGAAAAATAAAGCACAACTTGATCACCCTGTTGATACTTAGCCATGTGACATTTATATTAAAGGTGGGCTGAGGGAAATGTGTTTGTAACGCCAGTCAGCCATATTCCAGCTTTATCATAATAACTCATAAATTATGGAGTCTAGGAACCCTTTCTGAAGACAAACGGAGGTCGTAACAAATTGGATTCTAATAATTCAAAGTAACTTTCATCATCCTTAAACTCAAATTTTATTGTGTATACTGATTTGGCAATGATGTTTTTCCTCATAACCTATAAACAATGTGACAAACAGAAATGGATTGAGTAGAAGGTGTATGTTCTGGGCAGCTATATTACAGCTATGTCAGGGTGACATATAAACAATCAAGCCTAGACCACCCAATCCCCTTTTAGTTAGGTCATACGACCAGCACACAAATACAGGGATCTATTCCGACTTGGAAATACAAGATCTATAGCATCAGACATTTTTCAGCAAACCAAAGACTGACAGTGTGGTATTGATCATCTGAGTTAATCCAGTATGACTCACCTTGGAAACATCAACATGTCTTGAGAGAATATTTGAAGACATATCACAGACGAGAGGGACACCGTGTGTCTCTGGGACGAATTGGAACTCAACACCTGGTGGCGAAAATGTAACAAGTCAGTAATTTATACTTACAGTCCTTTCTCCTAATTCAGAACATTAAAGAAAACGGTTTCCTGGCAACTTAATATTGGTCATCTGAGAATGTATTATCAAATACAAGAAAGCGGTTAAAGTGTAAACATTTTCTTTACGTTGTCATGCTATTCTAGTCATTATCTACTGCCTCCATGGTCTAGTGGTAGAGCGTCCTTCCGGAGAGTGGAAGGTCAGGGGTTCGAATCCCGGATGGTACTTGTTGTTACTCTGCCTGGCAATGGGCATTAAGGGGTTAAAACAAGGACTGGTCGTCTCTGAGTCTGTATACTGTTAGAGCGGAAGGTCCAGGGTTTGAACCTCGGCCGTATCATACCAAAAGAGGTTTAAAGATGGTGCTTGTTGTTACCCTGCCTGGCGCTCGGCCTTAAGGTGTTAAAACAAGGACTGGTCATCTCTGAGTCAGTATACTGTGTCTGAGTGGGGTATTCATATTAAACTGTGGCATGGTGTCTCAGTGGGCTCGCACTATAAACTCAGCATCTGTCCGGACTTGTACAAGCAGTGAGTGAGTGAGTATGGTTTTACGTCGCTTTTAGCAATATTCCAGCAATATCACGGCGGGGGACACCAGAAATGGGCTTCACACATTGTACCCATGTTGGGAATCGGACCCGGGTCTTCGGCGTGACGAACAGACGCTTTAACCACTAGGCTACCTGACCGCCCCTTGTACAAGCAGACATTCACACGCACATGGACATCGCTATATAAGTGCAATAATCTTGGACGCGATGTTAACCTCATTTTAACTCACTTCACTTTATCTGATCATAATGCAATTATCCATATAAATTTTTAATAACCAATCAGCAAGTGAATCATCAAAGATAAAAACCTATATCTATAAATTTGCATTATCAATACAGCAACTGGGAACTCTAAAAACGGGTCTATGAAAAGTTTGTAGTTTACAAGCTCACCATGTATTGTCTCGTTGGCACAGTAGTACACAAAGGAAGCATCCGGATTCAGCTTCCACTGAGACTGGTCTGGGATAACTGTCAACAAAATAACATCGACACTGTTATCACTAGCAGAATTAGACACTCAAGTAAATACAACGTTAATGTTATTGAATATCATATTTGAGAAAAGCTTAGAAAAGCTTCCTTTCCGAAGTGATTCAACTTCTGTGAGGCTGAAGAGTGAGTGAGTGAGTATGGTTTTACACCGCTTTTAGCACCCCTGTCGGGAATCGAACCTGGGTCTTCAGTGTGACAAGCGAACGCTTTAACCACTAGGCTCCCTGACAATGGCTTCAAGTAGTTGGGGAGACTCCAGTATGCATTTATGCAACATTACAGAAATATCCTGGCAGGGGGACACAAGAAATAGGCTGTACACATTGCAGCTTCATCCAGGATCAAACCAAGATCAGTGGCTTGGCAAACGAACCTGCTGTTTTCAACTTAAGTGAGTGAGTATCGTTTAACGCCGATTTTAGCAATATTCCAGCAATATCACAGCGGGGGACAACACAAAAGGGCTTCACACATTGTACCCATGTTGGGAATCGATACCGGGTCTTCGGAATGACGAGTGAACGCTTTAACCAGTGGGCTACCTGACCGCCCCGTAATCACTAGCAGAATTAGACACTCAACACATGTTTTCATATTGATAAAATCCATTTGCATGTACACAACAAAAAGGAGTACATTAATGTTATACTAATGGCGAAAAGACAAGGGAAATAACTCTATTCGGGTTATTCAAAACATTGTAGGTTCAGGAGTGAGTGAGTGAGTTGGGTTAAACACAGCTTTTAACAGTAATCCAGTTATATCACGGCGTGTCAGCTTAATGTGGGAGGAAAGCCTGAAGTGATGCAGGTCTCAGACGTTTACAACTTTGGTGAAACCCAAGAGCACTGGTATGTTGCTGACAAACGTAGAAACATAATCGGGCGAACAAGGATTCGAACCCACAATCATAGGTTCCTGGCCGCCAAGGGACACAACTCTGCAACTCTGCACAGCAAATTGCAGCGCCTTAGACAGGGAAATGAGTATATTGTTCCAACGACATCAAACACTGACCCCAGACACCAAATATGTCATATTTGGTCAACTTCCTGACATTTTTCAAAATACTTCAATATCTCTGTTATTTGTCCAGCAATTCTCACCTGTATATTTGTCGGTTTTGGGCAACACTCGGTGGATCTTTCCAAATTTCTCGGCCTCCTTCGCAGCTTTGGCTGACCAGCTGCCGGTGACAATGTAGTCCGCTGCCCCGCCCTCCTTTCTCTTGATGAGGTTCAGTGGCACCGCAGAGAACTGTCCAGTGCCGCCACCTTGCAGGAACAGGACTTTGTAGTTGTCGGGGATGTGGCTGCAGAGGCAAGATGGTTTACATTAACAACAGCCAATCAACATCCAATAATCAATAATCCAGAAGCATCATGACTGGTGACACCATTTACAGGTACCACTCTTTCTTCCCCTGTGGGATTTGAACCCAGGCCTTAGGCTTGGCAAGTGAACATATGACCAGTTTCCTACATTGGTAAAATACCACTGGAGCTTTGCTGGATAATGCAGAATTAGTTAAAAGTTCAAAAGTGCATTGGTAACTCAAAACAATGGTACTCACAGCAGATCTCGGAGATCTTTCTCGGCCTGGTCGATGATTTTTAAGAAGTCAGAAGATCTGTGGCTGAGTTCTGGAAAATAAAGATTAAACATATAACAATGTACTATATCACTATAAAAACAGCCATAAATACACACCTCTTGATGAAGATAATTTCAAAGGGAAGAATTTATCCTCAAACTGGTTTACACTGCTGCCTATTGAAGCAGTAAAGGGGGACTACTCTCCATCTTCATGACCTTCTCGGGTTACACTGAAGCATTTCCGTATTAAATACCACACAATGTTTGTGGCACTTAAGTATAGATAAACCAGTCATTATCTTCAATACGGCCACACACAATAGTCATATAAGTGATTCTAGTGTAGCAGTATTGCAGTTATATCACACTGAAATGATGTTTGAAAAAAGGCTTTTGTTGACATATGTTATACACTTTCTTAGTAAAGTACAAATTCTAGTACTTTTTGGGGTTGAGTCCCATCCCGGATTCGAACCCACACTCTCAGAGTGAGGCACCTTATTGCCAGTACACATTGTCTGATACAGTTTTATTTACATTTACATTTACAAAGACTACAAACTAGGAATGATATTTTCTATTTTTGGGGCTTTGGGTGAAATGTGACTTACCCATGACACTGATTCCGGTGTTCTTGTAGTTAACCATTTCCTTCTGTGCATGTTCCAAAACCTGCAGGCAAAGAACTTTAGTTGTATTATCTTATCTTCATTGATGAAGGCGCCAACCCCCACCTTCTAGGCGCCCGGCATCCAATTTAGTTTGTCTTAGCATCCAATTTTGTTTGTTGTTTGTTGGTTTGTTGTTTAACGTTGCACTCAGCAATATTTCAGCTATATGACGGCAGTCTGTAAATAATCGAGTCTCGACCAGACAATCCAGCGATTGATATCATGAGCATCAGTCCACGCAATTGGGATCGATGACATGTATCAACCAAGTCCAACCCGTTAGTCGCCTCTTACGACAAGCATAGTTGCCTTTTACGGCTAGAGTGGGTTGGGGAAGACCTGTTCTACTCCGGATCTTCACAGGTGACGTCCCATTTAAGAACTCGAGTCATATCAGTGCACAGAGCTCTAGGTTTTGGTTATTTGGGCATTTTAGTAATTTTTTTACCCTGGGGTTTGAATTTGAATGGGTATCCACAATTTTTAGAGGGTATTCAAATATTTTTTACCCACCTGTTCCTAGACAACTGGTATTTTAACTTGAAATCTGTTTTGTATCAATCCCCTTTAATCATTAAAAAACTATGTGGATAGTAGTATATCTGTCTGCTTCTGCTTGTGAAGCCATTTTTGTTTGCAAAACTTAGCACAGTAGGAAAGGCAGTATTTTTTTAATCACCAATGAGCGACTATTCAAGATAAAAGCAAATGTGCTTTTCAACTGGCATCTATCAGTATGTTTGTCGCACAAACTTTTCCAAACGTAAAATGTTGGTAAGTGAATTTTGCGATAGGCTGATATACAATCATGTTATCTAATAGTTGTAGTATAAGCATAAATTGTATTTTTATAGCGCATTTATTTAAAACAATTTGCTGTGTCTTTGATACACTGGGATTTTATTTGTCTGCATATTTCAGTTAATTTGATGCACATTTTTACGCAAGTACTCAGCGTATCTCTAGTTCTGCAGTGCACACAGCTAGCTGGTTCACTCAAATAAGGCTGGGATTTCTACATAGAATGTATGGCCATGCATGCTGACATAAGCTCAGAGATAAATATTGTATTGACTTCTCACTCTTGGCAAGATAAAAAGGTCAACAAATAGTTCAACATTTAAACATTGGCATTCATGTTCCATATAAACATTTCACAATGGTCAGTTTTGTATTGCTTAAGTTCAGATAAATTCTTGCTGGTCAATTGCTAGCTATTCAAGGTCAACGGAGCTCGGATAATTTCTGACTAATGATAGGACAAATATAAGTTTTGCATGGAGCGGGTTTATTCATTTTTAGCATTTTGGGGAAGGGGGAAACTTGTGGCAATTTTTGGACTCAACACATAAAAACAAAGCAGACAAGGTGCTAAAATCTTTCTGTGAAATGAAAGATGCGAATTCTTCTTCACAACAGGCATGGTACAAGCCATGATGGAAAGTCAGTCCTCATGGCCATCTTTCAATTTCAAAACCATGAAAATAAAAGATTCAGAAGCAGGGCGGGAGGGTGCACCCTCCACACTTTTTCAAAAGCAGACTCATAATGCTGAAGTGACATTTTATAGCATATGCAAGTAAATCACTGTAGGGACTGAAACGAAAGACGGATCATGACAGCAAAAAAGGTGGGATGTCACACACAAAAAATTTAAATTAAAAAAAATTAATTATATGACTGTGATCATTATTATATAATGACAAGTCCCTTAGTGATGTTTTCAACTAAAATAGCAGTTAATTTAATATTACTATTGTTTCCCGAATCAACTCCATTTATTTTTTCTCATGTTAATTACACAACACCTTAAAAAAAGCTGTATCCGCTTGGAACTTGTTGAATTTCTAAATTAATTTGTGTTGTTTCAGCAAGAATAATTATCCTCCAGCTATAACCTGTCAGGTTTACATACGTACGTGACACTAATTAATTACCGCGAAACGCCACGCAATTAGGATCGAGCAATCGAAAAACAACAAAAGGCCGGACTGACAAGGGTTCCAAATGTTTGCTAAGGATACGTGATGTTTTGACACGAAAGAGAAATTTCATGCACCTCAATAGCATGGTTGTCAATTTCCAAAGATTCCGTTATGTAAAGTGGCTTGGAGCGTGTTATGTAAAGTGGATTGGAGCGCGTTATGTAATTTACAGTGTAACGTCGAATAGATCTAGTTTTTTCGTGTACATCAAAAATACAATGCATTTTATTTGCATATAAAATTATTACCACACATACACCATTATTAGGGTGACATCTAGATCTATCTCTCCTTTGTGGAAAGCTGAATACTCACACGATGCATCCGAGTTTGGCATCGCCATGATCAGCTGTTCTTTAGGCCTAATGCAAAATGTCCACAAAATCTTCATTTGCAAAAATAGAAATTGTACGATATATGTTACCTCTTCGGGGAGTTTTGCTGGTCCGGGTGAAAAATTGATGATTTTTGTAGCAGAAGGCATCGTGGTGGTTGTGTTGGGTGCGGATTTTCTCACATGAAGTTTGTAGGTAAAAATGTTAGTCCTGTCCGCTGTGTCGTGTTGACGTTTTCGTGAATGAGCTGAGAGGCCGAATGATAGCTTGCGTCAGGTTTTATACTCTCGAGCGCTTACCGGGACACTGTCCTGGGTTCTGATTGGCTGATGTTGTCTGATCGTCCGATTGGCTGAAGCCTCGCGACAAGGTCGGAGTTCAAATGTTTTCACGTGAACAAACCATGCGCACCAGCGAATCTGAAGCCGAGGTCTCAATGACCGACAAGAAAAGGTCACGTGGTTTCCCCATATTAGTGCATAGTGACCAAATAAGCGCATGCTTCCATATTAGTGCAATATAACCATATTAGTAAAATGTTACTACAAAACCCTAGAATCATTTCCTGGTTATTGCAACGGTTGCATATGTAGTTATTTTAACATATTAAAGCTGAAAACGTGCGGTATTAGTCTTTGTGATGGTTTCAGATGATGAAATACTGCTACAACAGTCGAGTAATCAGGTCAAGTCGATTTGGGAGAGGAAGTTTCCCTCGATGAACGGCCTTGGTTGCCGGTGACATTTGCAAGGTTTGTGAGGTCAAGATAGACCCGTTAGGTGAATGATGAAATACACCCCTTGGAATCAGCTGACTAGTGCGTTTAACAACGCCCTATCAACACATAACGTTGAAGAATGACCTGCATGCTGCAAAAAAATTTGCAGACGTTTGCAAAATGATGTAAATTTGTTTGTTTTTTGTTATGGAGCAGGATTTTGTCAATTAAGGTGAGGATTCCTGCACGTTGCCCAACAGCCCCCTATGAATGTTCAAGACTACAACAACACACAGTAAGTATAGCGAGAATATAAAAATGACATAACAAAATAAATAGCAATTCACTGTATTTTCCCTGATGATTATATTACATTATGCTTTTTTTAATGTTATCAATCCATGATTATTTGCGTGCACGGGTGGCCCAGTCGTCTAAGGCGCCGCCATTCGCTGTGGAGATGCGTCCATTGGGCACGCCAGAAACCAATGATTTTTGGTTCGAATCCCGGTTCGCTCCGATTATGTTTCTAGGTTTGTCAGCACCATGCCCGTGCTCGTGGGTTTCACCGAAGTGGTAAATGTCTGAGACCTGCATCACCTTGGGCTTTCCTCTAACATTAAGCTGACACGCCGTCATATAACTGGAATAATGTTAAAAGCGGCGTTACACCCAACTCACTCACGAAAATATTATTTAACACAAAACTTGTGAATAAATATGCAATAACATTCATCATTGTTTACATTCATCTTTGTTTGCAGGCGACTATGCTTGTCGTACGAGGCGACTAACGGGATCGGGTGGCCAGGCTTGCTGACTTGGTTGATGCATGTCATCGATCCCAATTGCGTGGACCGATGCTCATGATACCAATCACTGGATTGTCGGGTCCAGACTCGATTATTTACAGATAGCTGGAATATTGCTGAGTGCGCCGTTAAACAACAAACAAACCAATTCTTTGTTTACTCTTAATGACAGTTAGTCGCCCTGATCATATGTATCTAGGTTTGTCAGCACTATATTCCAGGATGACAACGCGAGGTGCCTCAACATTGCATGTCCATCTGGCTAGAACGAATCAACGTCATTTCGTTACATGTCATTTGTGAATAAATTGGAAGTTCCCTTAACTAAATATACCTAGCTTATACATACTTTATATATCTTTGTGAAATTATGTATGCATATTTATATATTTGAATCTGCCACTGTGGATATGTCAAACATATTATGGCAGGAATTTGTCATAGAGTCATGGGGGGGGGGGGGGGGGGGGGGGGGCAAGGCATGCCGGGATCGCACAAATGCCTAAATTGAGAGTAAAGGTCACGCAAAAATCGAATATGATATTGGTTATAAAAATAACAATAACAATAACACTGACAATAATACAAATGGTGATGATGAACATTACGAAAATAATAACAAAGAGTTATTTCGATGTTAAGCAGACTTGAATATTTACATTGCTTACTGTCCGGATACAATGCGTGTGGTTTTGTATCAATTAGCACCTGTTCCGGTCTATGATATCAATCAAGTTGGAATAATCAAAGTGTGATTGACAGCTCCTGTTAACGAGCCCGCGAGACAATGGACGTGTTTAGATACGCGCTCGTATATTCGGTTAGAAAAACAGAGGTGTACGTGTCAAGTGATAGCTTTTTGACAGGGTGGGGGGGGGGGGGGGGGGGGGGGGGGTTGAAGGAAGAAAGATCTATGAATGGGAGATGGTCTCCTAGCCTACCTACACTTACCTAGGAACTCATCCCATCCACCCACCCACCTACCTATACCTACCCACCCACCTACCTATACCTACCCACCCACCTACCTATACCTACCCACCCACCTATCTATACCTATACCTACCCACACACCTATCTATACCTACCCACCCACCTACCTATACCTACCCGCCCACCTACCTATACCCACCTGTCTATACCTACCCACCCGCCTATCTATACCTATACCTACCCACCCACCTATCTATACCTACCACCCACCTATCTATACCTACCACCCACCTACCTATACCTACCCACCCACCTATCTATACCTTTACCTACCCACCCACCTATCTATACCTACCAACCACCTGTCTATACCTACCCACCCACATACCTATACCTACCACCCACCTATCTATACCTACCACCAACCTATCTATACCTACCACCCACCTACCTGTACCTACCACCAACCTATCTATACCTACCACCCACCTATCTATACCTACCACCAACCTATCTATACCTACCACCCACCTATCTATACCTACCACCCACCTATCTATACCTACCACCCACCTATCTATACCTACCACCCACCTATCTATACCTACCACCCACCTATCTATACCTACCACCCACCTACCTGTACCTACCACCAACCTATCTATACCTACCACCAACCTATCTATACCTACCCACCATCCTACCTATACCTTCCACCCACCTATCTATACCTACCACCAACCTATCTATACCTACCACCCACCTACCTATACCTACCACCCACCTGTCTATACCTACCCACCTACCTATCTATACCTACCTGTAACCGCCCGTAATGCTTATTAAACCATTTGGTCAAGAAGACAAGCGCTTCCCCACCCCTCCCAAAATAAGAATAAGAAGAAAAAACGAGAAAAGAAAAACGAGTTGGACATAATGTTTTTATTTGTTTCGCTTCTCCATTTAGAGAAACAGGTCGTGTGTCTGTAATAGAACAGTCTCTCACTCCTGTCAATTACATGATTGGCCCTATGCATGCAGTATGGTGGATGCAGTTAGTTGTGCATGCAGTATGGTGGGTGCAGTTAGTTGTGCATGCAGTATGGTGGATGCAGTTAGTTGTGCATGCAGTATGGTGGATGCAGTTAGTTGTGCATGCAGTATGGTGGGTGCAGTTAGTTGTGCATGCAGTATGGTGGATGCAGTTAGTTGTGCATGCAGTATGTTGGATGCAGTTAGTTGTGCATGCAGTATGGTGGGTGCAGTTAGTTGTGCATGCAGTAGGGTGGATGCAGTCAGTTGTGCATGCAGTATGGTGGGTGCAGTTAGTTGTGCATGCAGTATGGTGGGTGCAGTTAGTTGTGCATGCAGTATGGTGGGTGCAGTTAGTTGTGCATGCAGTATGGTGGATGCAGTCAGTTGTGCATGCAGTATGGTGGATGCAGTCAGTTGTGCATGCAGTATGGTGGGTGCAGTTAGTTGTGCATGCAGTATGGTGGATGCAGTTAGTTGTGCATGCAGTATGGTGGGTGCAGTTAGTTGTGCATGCAGTATGGTGGGTGCAGTTAGTTGTGCATGCAGTATGGTGGGTGCAGTCAGTTGTGCATGCAGTATGGTGGATGCAGTTAGTTGTGCATGCAGTATGGTGGATGCAGTCAGTTGTGCATGCAGTATGGTGGGTGCAGTTAGTTGTGCATGCAGTATGGTGGTTGCAGTTAGTTGTGCATGCAGTATGGTGGGTGCAGTTAGTTGTGCATGCAGTATGGTGGGTGCAGTCAGTTGTGCATGCAGTATGGTGGGTGCAGTTAGTTGTGCATGCAGTATGGTGGGTGCAGTTAGTTGTGCATGCAGTATGGTGGATGCAGTTAGTTGTGCATGCAGTATGGTGGATGCAGTCAGTTGTGCATGCAGTATGGTGGATGCAGTCAGTTGTGCATGCAGTATGGTGGGTGCAGTCAGTTGTGCATGCAGTATGGTGGATGCAGTTAGTTGTGCATGCAGTATGGTGGGTGCAGTTAGTTGTGCATGCAGTATGGTGGGTGCAGTCAGTTGTGCATGCAGTATGGTGGGTGCAGTTAGTTGTGCATGCAGTATGGTGGATGCAGTCAGTTGTGCATGCAGTATGGTGGATGCAGTCAGTTGTGCATGCAGTATGGTGGGTGCAGTTAGTTGTGCATGCAGTATGGTGGGTGCAGTTAGTTGTGCATGCAGTATGGTGGGTGCAGTTAGTTGTGCATGCAGTATGGTGGGTGCAGTCAGTTGTGCATGCAGTATGGTGGGTGCAGTTAGTTGTGCATGCAGTATGGTGGATGCAGTTAGTTGTGCATGCAGTATGGTGGATGCAGTTAGTTGTGCATGCAGTATGGTGGATGCAGTTAGTTGTGCATGCAGTATGGTGGGTGCAGTCAGTTGTGCATGCAGTATGGTGGGTGCAGTTAGTTGTGCATGCAGTATGGTGGATGCAGTTAGTTGTGCATGCAGTATGGTGGGTGCAGTTAGTTGTGCATGCAGTATGGTGGGTGCAGTTAGTTGTGCATGCAGTATGGTGGATGCAGTTAGTTGTGCATGCAGTATGATTGGTGCAGTCAGTTGTGCATGCAGTATGATGGGTGCAGTCAGTTGTGCAATCAGTATGGTGGGTGCATCAAGTTGTTTGTAAGTAGTACATGTACGCAATCCCCCTGCAACAGTAAGGGGTACGTCATGTCATTTGAACCAGTCTTATCATCTTCGAGAAATACTCGCCATGTTTGTGTCAATGAGTGACAGCTTTGGAAGTTTTCCTAAGTTGATAAAAA